GAGCTTTGTTTATGCATTCCCTTAGCCACGGAAAATCTTGTCATTTGGTGAGGAGATTTCCTTGACTTATGGCCCTTACCATCGTTGCCTGTTGGTAGTTGGCAGTTGGCCATTTGCAGCATTTCCACCACCACTATCACATGGCCAAGATGACGAGCCACCTACACACACAGACCCTAGCTTTTGGCCGCACTTAAAAGCGTTAACCATCACCAGCAGCTGTGGCAGGGCTTCTCAGCCATCGACTGGCACACACAATTGCACGAGACGAGGAATGGAAAATGGAGACTGAGATGCGAATGCACTGAACTTTGAAAAATGAGAAAATAATGGGGTTTTTATATAAAAAAAATAATTGGAATTATTCCTAGTTTTTGTTTTGTATCTATGAAAGGAAATTCTTTGATAGCTATTAAATGTTTTTTAATTTTCTAAAAATTAAATAGTTAAATATAAAAATATTTTAATAAAATATAAAATAATAATAATTAATTTAAATTCGACTCGAAAAAATCCTTTAAAGACTAAACTTAAAATCTATCTATATTAAAGCTGGTCAGATTTTCTTTCAGTGTTTAAATGAGGACGTTTACAGTGGAAAGGGCAGGCGCGCGTCAATGTCCCTCGTGTAACTTTTTTCATTTCGCCGAGTTCTTAATTAAATTATGAATTATGCACAGTTAGTTAAATAGACGAACGTTCTCTGGGCTTTCCTCTTCTGTTATTATTATGCATATATATACCATATATATTTCTTCCTTTTTTTTCTGCTTTGTTTAAGATTTAGCAGAGCTTACATTGAAGACGGATTTACCGGCATGAACATAAACGTAAACAGAGCTTTTTTACATTTTTGCTTTATGTTTGTTTTGCCTCGTAAATGGCATTACTAACCCAAATACTTTGTTATTGGTGCTGTCTGTGTCTGTGTGAGGGGCATAAATAAGTCGCTTATTTATTGCACGTACCACACACGACCTTAAATGGGCACAAAGTGAAAGTGTTTGCCTTCTGCCACCTCGCTTTCACTTCTTTCCCGCGTATCGAGTTTCCTTCAACTCGGTCTCAATCCTCTTCGCGGCTGCTCACATTTTTGTACACACACACTCCTGGCATTTGTTATTTCGGGTTTAGGCGCATAAAATGTGCGTAATAAAATTCCATGAATCTGTCGTTATTTATGACCGCAACGTGTACAAATATTTATAATACAAAAGTGTAAATAAAGGACTTTCACGCAGGTTTGAAGTTCAAGTAGATTTTCTGCGCTTATTTTGCCTCAATTAATTTGATAATGTCCGAAGTCATGGTCCCGGAAACTTTCAATTAACAGATGAAATAATTATGATTAAATGATGGCCTTTCGTTAAACAATAAATATCATCCAACTCTTTGAGTTTCGCCCCCCGATGAAAGCCAACAAAATATTTACTCTAAAGTTACCCAACCACTTGGCTTCTCCTCGCCGAGTAAACAATTCCCAAACTTAATTAGATGCTTTGGGGTAAGGCGAAAACGAGAATAAATTTGTAATTTACATTTTGCGTGATTCAAGGGAACAGATGCGACGCCGAAAGGTGAACAACAATGCAGCCGGAGGAAGATACGACAAGTGCTCAGCATTGGCATTCTTATGGTACACTTGGAAATAAGTTGAGCTTAGTTCTTCGTTAGATTTGTAAGAAATCATATATCGTTCCTGCAGTATTATCAGCTTTATTATATATCTACCAAATCTGAGTAATTTAATTATTATTAATAAAAATCAAAGTAGAGGTATCATTCATGTTCAAAATCCACTTTTAAAAATTACAAGAGCTTAGCAAAAAATTATTAAATTTATTTTTCAAGCCTTCAAAAACATATTCATAATTTTTCCTAAAGATCCTTTAAGAAAAATCTAGTTTTTCGTCGATAAAATTTCTTAGCTGTGCCCATAAATGTGTATGTCCTGGTGTTTTTCGAATGTGCCACCAACTTCTGAATAAGTATGTTTTATGCTGTGCCGCAATAGCAACAACGACAACAAAAAAACAACAATAACAACCAGTAACAACAAAAACAAGCAGCCACAACAACAATGCGTTGTCAACTGCGGAAGCGGAAACTTCAAAGCGCAAACACTTGGCTTTATGAAGCTGCCAAGGGGCTGAAGAAGCAGGAAAATGCTCCGAGGAAGGTGAAAATTTAAGGGGAAAATCGGAGAACGGAAGTTGGAGGTGAGATGAAGCTACAGAGCACTATGCGGCACACAAGAGTGGCACACCTTTTGAGCAGAGGCGCTACGAAAGGGGGCAGTTTTATTTATTCAGAAAAACACATTTCAAGGAGGAAAAGTTAGCTATACGTAATTGAAAGTGTATAAATAAGTCCTCTTTCTATAAATACTATTGTTTCGATCTCTGTTATAGTAAAGGTCTATAATTATTAGTTTTCCTTGTAATAAATATCTAGTTATGAATTGAAATCTTTAAGCCATTTTTCCAATTCCTTCAAAATGATTTATTAAATAATTATTAACATCTTTATGCCATTTTTGCAATTTCTTAAAAATTATTAATTTATGCAGCATTTTGTAATTGCTCTAAAGTTAGTTTGCTGCGTAAAAAAGTAAACTTTTCTTTAGGATCCTTTTGTAATTTTTACAGCACGCACCTGGCCTTTTGCCCCAAAAAAACTCCGCTCGCATCGCGTGTGTGAGGGTCTCGTGTCTGCTGAATTAATTCACGCATTGCAGGGAATTTTGAGTTCCTCTTTGGGCCCACTGCAAGCCGCTTTCAAAGTTGTCAACTCGGCTTATTTCATTTGGGGCTGCGGCCCTTCAGGATTCTCAACTTTGTCGTTATTGTCACCGTTTTGTTATTAATTCACCAAACACTTGTTGTAGCGGCTGCTGTTGTTGCTCTTATTGTTCCCACTGTAATTTATATCCTGCGTCACCAGCTGCGAACCAAAAAAAAAAAAAAAGGGGAAAAAAAACAAAAAACTCAAACAAAAGAAAGCATAAAAAATAAGGACGTAAAGCGTGAAGAAAAGGGGAAAGCGTTGGACAATAAAATTTTGAGCAATTTTTACTGTCAGTCGTTGCTGTTAAATTTACTTACTGGCAGCCACTCCTGGCAGCCTCGGTTCTTTCTCACTCTTAATTATTCACTGGTCTCTTGGATGCCCTTGCAAGGGGAGATGTTTGAAAAGTAATTGAGTTGGAAAAGGATATGTCATAAAAGAGTTTCTTAAATAAAGAAAAATGAAGAAAAATCAAGAAATTAATGAGTACATCCTTTGAATTTAAAATTAAAATAGTAAAATAGTTCCAGAACTTTTTCTAATAATATCAAAATTAAAATATCCATTGAATCTCCTAAGACTCTAGTTCAAATATTTATGTAAATAATATTTAAATATTAAAATAAAACAGCTTCCAGAATTTCAGTGCATTTGAAATTCTCTCTTTGGAAATATTTTATGATTTATGTCCACAATTTTTGCGCCTGCTCTGCGTGAACGAAGTTAACCAAAAAATAAAGTGTTGAGTCCTGATTTTTTCCCTTGGCTTCTGCATTTTTAAAATGCCTTATGCCCTGTAAATGCTTCATTCCTTATTTTTATGATCTTCGGAGTGTTCTTTCTGCTTTTGAGAGTGCACTAAAATTTTGTAAACTTAACTTGATTTCAGCCATTTTTTTTTCGTACTTTCTTGTTGCTGGCTTTTCTGTGTTTGCCTTGGCCAAACAATTCCTTTTGAAGGTCCTGGCCAAGTGACTGGGCAAAAAATAAGAAAGAAATCCGGAACAGGATGCAAGTTGTAATTTCATTTCTCGCAACTCTTTGAGATTTTCGCTGACTATTTTTTTTCATGTGTGTTGGGGGCGTGTTTAATTCAAGTTGGCAAACAACATGAAGATAAAGTTTATTTGGATTTGTCCCAAATTGTTGCTGCTATCGTCCTTCTACCTCTGGTTACTTTCTTTTCGTGTCTCCCAAGGCCTGTTGTCACATCCTTTATTGCATTTGTTATCCTGCTTGTTTTCCACGTTTTCTTTCTTTCGAAACAAAATTCAGTCAGAGCTTTAAACTCAAATTCAACTATTTATTTTGGGCATTTTATGTTTACTCTTGGTTATTTATCTGGCTAACTCATGACTTAAAGCAAGGGAGATTTTTGGATACAAACAAAACAAAATTAATTTTGGCAAAATGTGTTTTGTGAAGCTTTTACGAAAAGTAAATATTAAATATTTGTCTTTGCTCTCATTTACACAATGTCTAGCTGCATTATTGTCATCAAGAAAAGGCATTTATTTGAATTACTATTTTATATAAATTATTTTAACATATTAAAAAAGAAAATCTTTTGAAAATGAAAAAAGCTATGCAAACTACAAACATGAAAGCTGCTGAAAGTTCTAATAATAAAGTTTTCTTTCAAAGTTCTTTTCTCTTAAAAAAAATTTAAACTAAGTTTTTAAGTTTCTCAAAACTAAACAAAAAGTATATTGACAGAGCAGCTAAAAATGTTAAATTTTTATAAAGTTTTTCTGTCGCATATTATATTTTTCATTATATTTAACCCTTGGCGACCCATTTCAGAAAATTATCCACTTAATCTGTCACAGAAAGTTGCAAGGATAGTTTGGTTTATGTTTTTTTTATTTTTTTGGCAAGTTGGCCAAGTAAACATTTTAATTTCGCACAAGAGCCACGCCCACTAATTGGGTTAAGAGCTAGTGAGTGGCGGACGAGTGGCAGAAAAGTTGAAATAATTTATGTCCTTTGGCAATTTCTGAATAGACAAAGTTGCTCTCCGGGCTTGTTTGCGGAATGTCAACTTTCATTCGCCTGCCAAACATATCTCTGTCGGCAAAATAAAAGAGGTTTGCCAGAACAGTTAAGAAGCTTAAATGCTTTCGCCCTTTTGGCTATCAAAAATACATTTTTGGTTTTATCAGTTGGCCGAAATTTAAGGGCTCTCTGCTGTCAAAATGTTGATTGCCACATACCAAATCAGTTTATGGTCATTATCCTTGTGTTATCCCAAGTGTGAAGAGGGGTGTCCTGTTTTCGCTCCTTTATTATTATTATTTTTTTTTTGGTTTGTTGTGTTTTGTGGTTTGCTTTTGTATTCTTTGTTGTTTTTGGTCACGTCATCGATTAGCAATGTGTTGCCATGGCGTCTTCCACTTTGCAGCAGCACAACACAAACACACAGGACTTGGGGGCGAGGGCGGAAAACCACACAAACTAACACGAAAAACCTCTGAAAATTCGAAAAAGTCCTGACCGCAAGTTGTAAACAACTTCACTTGGCGACCGTTTGTTAGTGGATTTTTATTTTAGCTTGGCTTAGGGTTTTCTCTGGTTTGGTTTGTCAGGATAATGCCACGTTTTTATTCGTACTTGCACAGTTTTTATACGTTTGCTCTTTTGATTTTCTCAAACACTATATATGGTTGCACTAATGATGATGATTTACTATGCGATGGGGCCTCGGGACACTTGCCTCGAGGAACTGCGACTGAAACACGACCGTCTGCTCGCACGGCTCGCCGTCAACTGGTTCGCCTCGAGCTTCCTTCGAGCCATCGTCCCCCTTGTGGTAGCCGAGCTCCCGACGAGCCGGGGAAATTCCGCACTCGTGAATTATGCATTTTCCACCTCTGCTTTCCGGAATTTCCCTGGCTCTCTTCGTAGCGCTCTCTCTCTCTCTTAGGTGTTTTTTGGGCAATTTGTCTGACGATTTTTTGGTGAGTTTTCCTCATTTTCCTTGTGCCGGTGGTGACTTTTGCATTTTGCCGGTTTGTTTACGTTTTTGTGTGTTGGCCCGCTTTTGGCTGTCAGCCGGCTTTCTTTGCTGGCCAACATGTGACTGCTGGCGGGGGTGGCTTTTCCATGGCGCTTTTCTACGATTTTAATTGATTGAGGAGGCTCACTTGGCTGAGGGTGCGGAAATTGTGAGGGGGTGTTTATTTTTTGTTAGAACCGATTTCTTTTTGGCCAGTTGAGAAGGGTTGGTAGACGTTTTCAACGTTGTTGCTTTAATTGGCTTGAAGGGGACTAATTTTTGGGGACACGCAAACTTTTCCTGTAGTCTACAGGCGCAATTTGAGAAGGCCAAAACGAAAGTTCAATTATTTTTAAATTGATTTTGTTGTTTTGAAAAGTGAGGATTTGTATTATTTAGCAAAGCAATAAACATTGAAGGTTACAAGCCTGAAATTGTATTGATTTGTTTTTTATATAATTGTAAACAATTTTACAATATAGAAACGTGCAAAAAATTAATATAAAATTATAAATATACCATAGTTATATTTTAAACATCGATAGGACTTATTACAGTTACATTGGCGATGAGTTGTTTAAAAAATGGTTTTCTTTGAATTCAAAAATAAATACAGAACATAAGGACAAAATATATTAAGTAAGCCTTTCTCTGAATTCATAAACGAGTGAGAGGCATTTGCTTTATTTTCTAAAATAATATCTAAAATTGTAATACTTTCGACTTCTTACTTTCCTAGGCCATTTGTTACAGCTGCAACACCAGAAACCTTTTAAATATCCTTTAAAAAAGCACGCAGGCTAATAATGATGACAAATACCGCATAGAGCTGACCAGTTTTTGTTCCAGCTCCTCTAATGCCCTGTCCCAACTCCTCTTTGACCGCAGAAATGAAATGTGCCGGGCAAACCGCTTTGGGTAGCAACTTCGTCTGGGTTTCGGCTTATTTACAAGAATTTTTCGTTACCTCTCGTTTCGTTTCAGGCCTGGCCGAAAACCGCAAGCACCAAAAGACAGGAGGCCGCAGGGACGAGCACCAGAACGATGTAGATGGGATGGCGTTGAGGCGAGTGGTACTATAGACAAAGTGTATCAATTATAATACGGGCGCCAGGAGCGTGCGAGCCAAAGAGAGGGAGAGGGAAGGCAAAAGAAGTGTGAGACCAGGAGTCAGGATCTAGGAAACAGGATCCAGGAGTTGGACCCATTGCACTAGGAAAAATTCCTATTTCTGGTAATCCATTCGGTAGAATTTAAAAGTAAGTTCAAGTTATATTATATTTATTTAAATGAAAAGTCGTTAAAATAGTTTATGGAATCATTTTAAAATGAAACTAAATACTCAAATATTTTTACCCAAAATAAAAAGTAAATAAATAAATGAATAAATTACAATTCGAGGGATCTTCTCCATATTGAATTAAAATCCCAATTGATAATTGATAACAATAAATTTATAATCTTTTTTTTTCCCCCTGTATAGACAACCACACGGCGCCATGTTGGCAACGACAAGTACAGCCACAATTACCTCGGATCCGGGCATTCTCTGTTTTCATCACTGCTACGTAAAAGTTTTTTGCTTCACTTTGCCGCACATTTGTCCCCATTGCAATGAGCCACTGGACGCGGATGTGGATGTGGACGTCAATGCGGATGCGGATGATAGTGCAAGTGCGAGTGCGAGAGCGGATGCGGATCTAAAAGCGGAACTAGACAGGAGCGAACAGAAGCCACGCCTCCTGCTCCTGCCCTTCCGTCTGCCATATCCCTTTGTGCGGGCCACACAGCATCCGTGCGCCATTGTCTTGCGTCCCTCCACTGGCGATTTTCTCAAGTGAGTAGCCCCGTACAGGATCGGCCACAATGGCCAACGGCCAGGATATGCCAGGATACGTGTATTCACAGCATCTGCTGACATTCAAATCCTCGAACAAATCAAACAAATGCTTTTATTAGTTGCGGACACTGTTTGAAACAAATCTGGGAGAGTTTTGGCTTAAATTTGTACCATAAAGTTTTCAAGGAGTGAGCCTTCCTTTTTGGTTGAATAACCAGAAATAAAATTAGATTTTACACATTTCATAGACCGTGGATTTTTCCTACCTGCTATCAAAATCCAGCAATTGAAACCGACTATTCCAAGCGGCTTCACTCGATTTATTCCAGAACCAGAATCCCCAACAATATCCGATGGCCAGGCCAAAGCAAATTTCCACCAAATTTCCACCGAATAACACTTTTTTTTTTGCATTTTTGAAAGGGGGTTTGCTGGGAATATCTTCCATGGCAGGAATATATTTTTGATGCGTTGTGTTTCCGCAGCGATTACAGCAACGCCACCGATTTGCATATCGCAGTGACCACATCCGGCGGCGACATCGTGGAGTTCGATCGCATTGGTCTGCGGCGGCATCGCCGTGATGATAATCCGCCGGAGTGGCGGCAGTCCCTGCTGGTTGGGGATGTCCCAGAACCGTGGCACGACTTTTGGGACGAGGTGCTGCAGCAGGTGAGTCCCTAATGTACAGTCTACAAGACTAGGGTGATTCGATGTGTTTCGATTGGTTATTTTAATTAAAATATAAACATTGAAACAAGAAATGCAACAATTAAAGTTCAATTAAAATCTTTATTGTAATTCTATAAAGACTAGATAGAGCCACCCTACCGAAACTCTATGCAAATCCCTAAGCTTTCATACTGCACCCTTCCCTCTTGCTTTGATAGATTTGCGCCCAGACTGTTCGATGGTCCATTGCCAGTTACGCGGAGGAGACCCACAACTGTTATGCATTCGTTCTGGCCTTTCTGCAGGCTCTGGGCCATGCTCCGCTGAGTGAGGCGGCCAGGAGCAAGACCACCTTCTGTGAACAGTGCATCGTTCCGAGGACAACGACAGCGGGAAAGTATATCTCGCTATATCGCAAACTCCGTCGGAGCGGCATCTACGTCCATCGCCAGCAGCCGAGGCATCGGAATAAGCCTAAGGGCCCAGCATCCGCCGTCTTGAATCCTTCTAGTTCCTATGCCCATTCTTCAGATAGCTGCGATGGTGTCGGCAGCAGCAGAAGCGGCAATCAGAAGTTACCCGCAAAAGGATACTCAAGCGGCAGTGCCGCAGGAATCACAGGATCTCGCCCTCGTCCCACACTCTGCACCATCGAGGAGTAATTGAATCAAGTAGCCTATTTTAGGATTGGAGAGTGGGAAATGTATTCAAGATTGTCATCTATTTGTATCGTGTGTTACAATTCATAGGCACATTTATTAATCTTAAATAAAGTGTATAATAATTGTCGTATTTATTGATTTTAAATTAAACTTAGAAGGAATTATAGAAATTATACATGATAGAATATATTTTATTTTGTATTCCATGTTTTAGAGAATACCTTTTAAAAAGTGTAACTTCGATCAAAAAGGCTTCAAGTATATTTTGAAAATTTTTTTAAAAGTTCACCAATAAAAATGCAGTTTAAAATCTTTCAGATATCTCTTACATATATACATTTTCTTTTTTTATTTATTACAGTAAAGATATAGTTTGCTCTTAAAATCTTTCTTATTTCTTTGGCTTAATGTTGATACTGTTTCTTTTTAAGGAATGTAAGCAGGCATAAAAATACATAATTATTTTTCTGTCTTGGTGTTTTCTCTTTGGAATGATTTTCTTTTATAAACTAGCACTATTATTCAGCGACTTCGCGGGGCTACATTCTCGCGGAACATATTGTTGTAGTTGCCTGGCGGATTATAGTTGCACACCACAAAAATGGTACTTCCCCTGAAGAAAAGTTTACATTGAATTCTAAAATATTGTTAGGATTGCACGCTGAGTTACCTTTTGGCAAACCCGACTCCCAGCTCTATAGAGCCCTTCCACACCACCTGAGTGAAGTGCCCAGTATTGAATTGGAATGAGGGAGAGTGCCATTGGTATTCAGAGACTTCTTCGTACCAGGATCTAACTGCATCGGCGCCTCCTAGATTGCCACCGGAAGCCATGTATATATTCTCGCCATAGCCGCTATTTGGGCGATGTTGCATGCAATTTCTGGCCAGCAAATACTGAACAATAGGGTTCATATAGGTTATATATTTGTAGGTTATTGGATTATGTGGGATACTCCTTACCTTGGCCCATTCAGTGGCCAATTGATTCAGTTTGGGATTAAGCGTCAAAGGCTTGGCACCGTGCATAGCCCGATATTTATTGTGGGCATCAAGAACTTCACGCTCAAACTGAAAATTATAAAAGGGTATTTCAGTACCAACACTCACTTTTGTTAAGAACACTCTTTTCATAAATCTTTAATAATCAATTTAGGGATTTCCATTTTATCCTTACTTGTTGAACACTCATTTTGCTGTTTTCCTTAATTTCGGCTTGACACTTCGTTAAAATTCACTTAATTTTTTATCGTTTATTTAAATTTAAAAAAAAATTCTGCGCTGGCGCTGGCACTTGTCGGTGGAAACTGAAGTCGTCTGGGGCTCAGCGACTGCTTTTATGAGACCTGCCCAGATTTCCTTATCAGTTGATTTTCCGCCAAGCCAACTGGACGGAACTCGGTGAACAGTCGCAATTGTGGGGTTCCAACAAACCGACAAATGCTGACTAATCTCCGGGCGTGACGTGCCGGCAATTTGGTCTTGAAGCTATTTAAAAGAGAGCTAATGTGACGCGCATCATTGCCAAAGATAAAATAGCGTAAATATTGGTAGTGGGCTTTGGGAGTTTTAGTTAAGATTCTGCTAGTTGCTTAAGAAATCATAAAAAAAAACATAAAGCTACTTAAAAATTCCAGCTGGAAAAACCATTAATGATACTAAAGCCTTTTTAAAACTTAAAAAATGCTGTATGTGTAATTTGAAATTCTTATCGAGCCCCTGAAGAGGGCAAGTTCAAGGAAAAGAAGTTTCGATATCGTAACTATGACTCCTGTTATGCGGTTTCAAATATGATTATTATATATTTGTAATGTATTTTAATTAAATATTATTTATATATTTATGATGTAATCAGCACCTACATATTAAAAAAGACCCTGAAAAAGTATTAATAATCTTATTGTTTTGTATACTAGACAAACTTGAAACGCTCGGGGCGATTGACTCCTTATCACCCTATGTTTTTGCACATATTTTGCCAGTACATACATCATTTCCTTATGGGTGTGACTGTGTAAAATAATTAACATTTCACAGAATAAAAGTCCCCCTATATTTATAATTTTATTAAGGTATCTAATGAGCTCGCGGCCCCTTTTCCTTTCATGGCTATCCTTTATGTTGATAAGGAGAATGCGCTGATTTTTAAATAGATTTTAAATGGAATTTCCTTGATGGTTTGCTCGCAAGTCAGCTTGGTCCGGAGATTGCAACGTCCAGATTCCTGAACCCCATATCCTTGGCTCAGATCGGCTTTTGTGGCTGCCATTCTCGCGCCTGCCTCATTAATGAACGCAATATCCCAGACAGGAGGCTGCGGCAGGAAGCGGGGCGCTTGGTTATGCAAAACTGTCATGAATCGGGAAAATGTAATTACATTCTCGTTGATGATGTTGATGAGCAGCCAGGAGGTTCTGCCAGGGCTTCAGCCGCAGCCTCGACATTTCATCTTGGATAGAGCGCAATACGTGCATATAAATTGTATAATGTCCCCTCGGCCAACTTTGGCGACACGTAATTTCGAAGCAAATAAGTTTTGCCCTTCTCCCGGCCAAAGTTTCGCCACGATTCGCTGCTCTGCCGCCTGCCGCCTCCCAGTCAGGCCCACTTCCTAATGCCCTTGTTTGCCCAACTGGGGATCTGGATCAGGTGTCGTTATTGAATTCAACAGTTGAGGCGAGCTTCGGCGTAGTTCCCCAAGGGAAGTGACACGGATGCGAACGGGGATAGGTACAAAACAGAGGCTGACTTGGCGGCATCATTGAGTAAACTGCTTAAAATGATATTGAACGGGTTAATAAGATTCAAAATATTATACATAAACCAATAGTAGGCTTAAATAAACGTTTTTATTAAAATACATCTTGTTAAATCAAATATATTTAAAAATAAATATACATACATTTCGAGGAAACTTTTACTTTATTGTTTAATTTTGTTTAAAAATGTTTGTGAATTTATTAAGCCATAAGCGGCTTCCTTTCATTCATTAGTTCAAATCAAGTTACGAAAATGAACTTGCATTCCTGCACGTTCTTCGACTTTTTTGTTGACAAACCTCGCCGACAGATAATAGCTCCAATTGAATGCCATATCCATATCCATATTCTTCCATCTGCCCTGAGTCACGATTGTAAACCAAAGTAGGGCAGTGCTTTCTGCGATATTTACCGACCTTCTCTCAAGGTATTAAGCCATGATGGCAGTGGGTGGGTGTGACTGGGAGGTATTTCTGTTTGTACTTTTTTGCACAACAATTGCCATGAGTCAAAATTAATGGTGAAATCGGTGCCTGGAACTTTACTATTATACTACCTTACTCTCAAGGCAATTATATCATGATCGCAGTACAGTACAGTAGATATTGCTTATAGGAAGAGAAAAGGGAAGTACATTTTTATTAGCAATTAAAAATAAGTAAGATATTAGGTACGATTGATTTTCAATTCGATCAAACTGCATACGAACTTCGGCTTACCGAAACTAGCTCTCTTTCTTATATCCTTTTCATGGTAATAGTAATAATCTGTGTTAGAAGTTTCTTATGAAGAGACAAGTTATTCTGCTTTCTTAACTTTATAATTTAAATTATTAAAATTAATTTTATAAATGTATACCATATAGAAATATGTCAATTTGTGGTTCTGCTAAGATAAATAAATATATCACTTGTTAGCACACTATATTATTAGTAATAAATTGTCATATTTATAAGCAATATCTACTGCATTCCTGCTTGTTCTTTTTTCCAAAGCAGTTTTCCCCCGTGAGTCAAGCCCCTGAAGAATTGATTTTCCCAACTGGCGCCACCGCAGGGCTTAGCTTGTCTGGGTTATGGTTGTTATCTAATTAAAATGTAAAAATAGACGTTCAGCATAAATGCGTAACATGTAAAACGTGCATGAGGAAAAATCAAATCGAAAGCGACTCAGAAACGAACCTTGAGCGGCATTTAAAACGATTCTTTCAACGCTGCCCTTTTCACCATTTTCTTTTTTTTTTTTTGCGAATTTTCTGCCTTTCGCTTGGCATTTTGCAATTTGGCGAACTTTGTACCCAAGAGTTTGACCAAGTGCCGAGCTGCAAACAGTTTAGACCCGGCGTCATGGTAATGATGTAGATGCCTTTCTATGGCTGCACCGAGCCAATCTGCTTTCTATTTCCCCGCCCTCTCGATTTTCCCGCTCCATTTGACACGTTTTCAACGCCGAGGAAAGCAAGACGGGGAGAGGGGAAGAGGAAAGCATTGAAAATCTCAACTAATGTCAAATGCTTTGTTGTCGAAAATCCAGCAGAGAGAAGGGAATAAGCTTCCCTCGGTTGACACTTTTAATTTAGTGCTGGGTTATTTATCAATCGCATGTATTAATAACAACCAATGCATCAGTGGCTTAAGATAAATGCATTTCCTTTGTGATTTATGCTCTGTAACTGGCCAAGCTGTGTTTCAGGGGAATACCCTTTCAGCATCCCTTGCGGATTATCAATGGTAAGAGCAAACACCCTACCGGACTTACTTTGTGCAAAGCCAAAAGCCTCTTCGAGTTCCCACTCGTTGTCGAGTGGCGTTCAAATATTTACAAAATGTCAACGCTTGGACTCGATTTGCTTTGATTTTGATAAGACCAACAAAGCGTAACGTAAACGAACAGATAACAACTGATTTCATTCACAAGTACAAATAGTGGAGCGAAAATGGCAGGGGAAATCCAATAAATCGTTAGTCACGCCTCCCATGGAGGTTTATGATAACAATTTGTAGTAACTGCTATCAAAATGTGCCATAATTATGTTTAAGATAAAGATACCCTATCTTACAAAGTCAACAGATTCAGATATTTGTCACAAATCTTATCAAGTTGATTAAATAATAGCATCTAAGAATAAGTTGTTAAGTCTAGGAAAAGTTTTCTTCAGTCTGTCAGCAACATGTCACTATTGCTTGTCATTCTTTTGGAAGAGCTTAGTTTGGCAGACAAGTTTTGATGCAATAATTCGTTATACACAATTTAGGGAATTTTTTTATGCATATAATATGAAAGTTATACAAATTCGATATTTATTATTTTACTTCAAAGTAAGCCATAAATCAATGTGCCCCAAAGAAAAGCGGAAATCATCTAGTGGAAATTCAGCCACACTTGAGTTTCCCTAGCTGTTGACTTAGCACTTGCTATCTCTTTTTATTTAAATAGTCCTCTCTCTTTCATACTCACTCACTTATTTCCAAGGCAGCGTCCAAAGGAGGCGCATAAAAAATGTATTCACACAAATTTCTTGTGTCAACTGAAAGTTTTCAGCGAATTAGCAATTTGTGCAGCGGTCGCAGTGGAAATTTTATACCAAATTGCAAATTCGTGTTTACTTTGTTTCAGTAAATTTTCCACCTCGTTTTTTTCGTAGCTTTTCTTTTACCTTGCTTGCTCTCTTTACGCCGTGTTGACTTAATGGATATGTAAATAAAAAGTGAAGTTGATGCAGATGAAGCTGGGGGTCTGCTTTTGACCGATAAGTTTTATGCGAATTATGTTTGTATATAGTTTCGGAGGGGAAATAAAATTGCAGTCCGATTGCTGGATTAATTGTCAGCTCGTCAATCTTCATTTGTTGTTGGTTGTGTGAAAATCGGTTGGATTGTCGTGAATATTAAGTGGGAAATTTATAAAAGCACATAACTGCAAACGGTGTGCGTCATTTAATTCACATGACTGCTGGCAATGACAGCTGTTTGCGTTTTGTGATTTCATACTGATGGCTTTATTGAGGAATATCACGCATACGCAGAGTGGCATTTTAAAGGTGACTTTAACTATAAAAAATATCTTGTTTTAAGCAAGTAATTAAATCTGAAGCTGAGCTGGTAGAAGAAGTAGCTTTCTTTTCCCCTTAAACTTCAGAGAAAAGCCTAAAAGTTGGCTCTGTAAAATGTTTACCTTTAAAAAATGAACTACACATTTGTTGCTGACTTTAGTCTGCTAAATCCTTCCGATTATATGTTCTAGGAGTAGGAAATGCTCTCTACATTGTCGAACAAACCAATATTGCATTCCCATTCTTGTAAGCTGCGATATTAAGTGTACATTGGACGTATCATCGGCCACAAATTGCAGCTGCTGCTATTTAATGCCACAACTTTTGGTACGCAACCCCAGGCCGGATACTCTCGCTCTCGCTCTTGGCAAACACATGTCGGTGTCCTGTCCAAGCGAGTCCTGGATGGAGTGCTGTTCAAGCATGTTGCAATAAAACTAAATCGAATTCAAACACAAAGTTCATTTACAGTTCATCAAGCCGGGCTGGCTGAATTTCGAAATACCGACGGGGGCAAAGAGGCAAACAAGATGTGGCTTCCTGAATACTTGCTGCCATGTTGTTCGTCCTGTGAAACTTCTAAACTTGGCTCTTATGCTACATTAAATGTGCTTGAGCCCTCGGTACTTGAAAAGTTTCTGCTGCTGCTCTCGTAGGCGTTTATATGTTAAATTGATTTGCCAATTTAAGTTCAGGTGGGAGCCCCAAAGTCGAAATAGTTTATTTTGGTTTATGGTCGAGCGAAAGAATTTGCCATTAGCATGATAATGGTCTATTGATACACATTTATGTTGCACAAAATTGAAAGCATCTGCGGTTTAGCATTGTCGACGCCAATTTTCGGTTATGTGGGCGGCACACACAAAACTTTTCAGTGCAAAATTCAACCGAAAATACCGCGGAAAATTGCCATTGATTTCGATTAATTTCCAATGGCTTTTCTGGTCGCTTTTGCGTTTGCCCCGGAGCCTCGCTAATTGCGCGTGTAAAACGTATTTATTTTGGGCAATATATACATTTTTTTTGTTCTTGTTTGCGGTGGCCCCGACGGTCAACTCCGGTGTTATGCATTAAATAAATTTGCTGATAATTTGATTTTCCACAAAAACAGTTTGGCACGTGTTTAGCATACTTCTGCGGGCGTGTTGAGTGAGAGGAGACTGGGTGCAGCTAAAAGTGCGGAATTGGCAGTAAACCCCTTTCGGACCGCTGCTCTTGGCCATATTGCCATTATGCGATTTATTCAAGTTCAGTCGAAAGGTCACTTTACTTGACTTATTTTCGCTTGAATGGCGATTGAAAATCGTTTTAAGTGCAGCCCCAAATGCGAAGGAATTTCTGCTAAAAGGCGTTGGAGCGTAAAATGCCGCTCAAGCTGAGTAACAGGATTGTGCTGACAGCAGAGGAAATGCTAAATTACAGATGGGGAATGGTTGAAATACTACAGAAATAAAGCAATTTGGCAAGGGCTTGGATTTATTAAAATAAGTAAATTACACAGCAAGAAAGAAAGGTTGAATCCTAGTACCTAAATACCCTGCAGTTTAATATATATTTACACAAATTTTGACTTTGGTTTTGTCGTGCTAATTTCCTGTTTCCAGAATTAACTTGACATTTCCAGTTACGCAAAAGATTTGCATATCTTTCTAGCCGCAGCATGTGTGTAATGCAGTCGGGGATCCATTTGGGCAAATCCTTTTGCCATTACTCGCTTCCACTGTGTCCTTACCACTCCATATCCTGTAGCCTCCCAGCCCCAGTCTGGAGGCAGTGATGTATCCACTTCATATCGTCTATAGGTTTTGACAGCTGCTCGAGTTGCCGCTCCTGCGGTTGCCAAGTTTTGGCTTTTGACTCCAGCAGACATTTGCCTGGCAAATTACCAGAAACCAGAGACACTAGACTCGGCAGGATGGGGTTTAGGGCTGTGTCTTGTGGGCAAATAGGTAATTTTCATCACTTAATTGACATCTGAGCTGCGTGGAGCCCGGTCTGGTATGGTGATTATTTGTTGAATTTAACCAAAGAACAAACGTTAACTGAAATGAGTCATCAAAGATGAAATCCAAGTAATTTTCAGCAGTATGAAAAAGCTGGGCCCAATACAAATTTACTAGAAAATTCAGAAAATTGGAAAAGTACTATGTGTATACCAGACTTTCAATTGTGTCGTGGGCATCTGCCAATTGGAATCAGACAAACCAGTTTTCGGTTTGGTCTCTGAAACAGAAAAAGTGAAACCTCTTTTGGCCATTGACGCAAAATGTCACTTGTCGTTGTCAGGCCGAATCCTCATCCCAATCCCCATCCCCATCTCCTTTCAGCCCAGGCTCATCCTCATCCTTTTGGCTTCTTGTCCCATCAGTAGTGCGTCATAAGCGGGTTATGGCATTTTCATTTCGAGTCCGGAAAACGAGCTGAAAATGGGACATGATGCCAGTTAGAGTTGCACAATTTTTGGCCTGTAACTGTAGTGGCATCCTGTTGCAGTTGTATTTATGGTCGTATAAGAACTAATCATCTTTTTTAGTTGGTTATTTACACGAAATAACACCAGATTGTATCGAATCTTAACCATATTCAATTATTTGTATTCTTAATATAAGATTTCATTAAAAAATTACTATGTTAAAATAACTTTCTTATTTGTTCTTCTTCTTATACAATTCCTTCTGTCTTTTGACCTTGATTGGACCAAGCCCATGTCCACACTCACATCCACATTCGCATCAACATCAACATCCGCATCGCAAGTCAATTTAATTGGAAGCGGGCACAAAGTGCCTGCTGCCGTTACCCTTTTGACATTTAATTAATATGCAAATGGCGCTGGCTCTGCATGCCTTTCTCGCAGCATCTGGCACTTCAGCAGCTCCCAGATCCAGCGCCACATGCGATGGCCACTTCTTTACCAGAGGGTATCCTTCGGATTCGTTGGCAGCGTAAACAAACAGTGAAGGAATTAGAAAGGCAGCTTAGTCATTCCAACGGCGTCGCAGATTTCGTGCAGGGCTAGCCGAGGGAATGGCACATGGTGGAGGAGTGCAGAGTGTGGGGCACATCCTTGAAATCCTTGGGTGTCCCACAGGAATGCCCGCTTGGAATTTACGAGCCGCTCGAGATTAGTTTCCCCTGGCTGTTTGCTTTAATTGCGCCCATAGTCATTGGGGGGCGTGGTCGAGTGTCGTTTGAGTCAGCAAACAAGGCGGTCCCTCTGTGCTCCATTCTCCCGTTATCCCTTCTCGCCAGCCTCCATTTGCGACATTCCACATACGCCGCGCTTGCCCGCGGATATGCCCCGAGATTGGTGTCGCTGCATTGTAAATATTGCATTGGGCAAGCTCAAACACACTTATCGCATCGAACGGGGAGTCGTAAATATATATGTCTGCGTCTATATGCGGACATATATCGGAGATGCATAAATTGTTGCCCCCTGCTCTGTTGGGCATTCTCTCTGTGTGAGTGTGTGTTTGTGCTACCATTTTATATCTTATTTATTTCAATTTTTTGCCCATTCGTTGTCGCGACGTGTGTCGAATGTGCGGCACATTTTATTCGAATGTTGTGCCCTCCACTTTTTATCATCCTTTGGGATGCAATTTAAAATATTGCACGAGTCCTTTTCCGCCTTTTCCCTTTTGGATTTTTCATTCGCCATCGACGTGGCCGTTGAGTTGAGTGATTGCAATAAATTATTACTGCAAGTTTATCACGTTCAATGGAGCAGAGCTTGGAAAACAATATGCTGGGGTTTCTTCAAGATGAATAGGATAGGTTGCCCGCTTCGCAGGAGTTGTACAGGCGGAAGACCTTCTCCTCCATGCTGCCATTTTTTGTAGTTTTGCTTTTTCAGCTTCTTGGGAACTTGGAATCCATGGGGAAATATCCGGTCAGCATTGGAAGGAGGATTGCACCTGGTCCTTGTCAGCTTTGCCCTCAAAATAATTGCAATTTCAGAAGCACGATCACGTATTCCAATTTAGCGCCTTCAGATAAACTCCAGATTAGTAATATAAACTTTCCTTTTTTCTCAACTTTATTGGCTATATATGCAAAGATTGATTCAGCCTAAAAACTAAGGGACTAAGTTTGAGTAGGAACAGACGGACGGCTGTTGATGCTGATCAAGAATATATATACTTTATAGAGTCGAAAATGTCGAAAAAGTATTCGTGGCCTACTTTGATTGTTTCGAGGAAGTGAAAACTGTAACTTACGGTCAAAGGATATAGCAGGCTATGAATTTCCAGTTCGTCAGCTATTCCCTTATATTATTTCTTTTTCTTTTGACTTCGATTGCTGACGGTTGAACAAGCTCCTTAAAATAATTAATTTTATTTTACTTTTCCAAAGTCAAAACGTTGTGAAAATGCCTTCGCATGCGGTTATTCCATCGCCCATTGCCTCGCGCGTGAGTTTCACTTGGTAAGAAATTAGGGACTCTTAATAACCCAAGTTTTATTTCCCCCAGAAGTTACCTCCTGGCAGATCTATGCCCAGGTCTTCAGCTAGGAATATCAAGCAGCGTTTGGGCGAGAAATTTCGTAATACCGAGGTGGTCAGACGCGCTCTCGGCGATGAATTCAACGAGTGGAACGATCGGCGTATTTGGAATGACAATATTTCCGGTGGAGCCGGATTATTGTCAGAGCCAAATCCGCCACCACCGCCAGAGAATCTGGACTGGAATAACACTTATCGTCGTCGCGAGATGTCGCCCAATATTGAGGCCTTTATGAACTTCAATGATCAGCCGGAACCCGAGTACAACAATGAAGTTTATGTGGGACCGGAGCGCTTTTCTTCGAATGATTTTCAGCGCGGCATGAAACAGCCAGCCATCATCCGGAACTTCCCAGATCTTTCTAATTCAGCACTCAAGGACAGTTTCTCGTCTGGTGACTATCACAGCTTCGAGGGTCGTCGCGGAGACTCTGGTTTCATGGAGTCTTCTTCGTCGTTCAATTATGGCGGCCCGGAGATAAGTCCCCAAGATTATACGGGACAGAGAGGTCTGGGCAACGATCAATGGCGGCCATATGATCTGCCGGCAGAAGTGGCCAAGAAGCGGCGCCGCGAGCCGAGCCCCCGCGTTCCTGAGCGTCCTCGTGCTGCTCCGGAGATTTTAGACAAAGTCTATCATATCGGAGGCTACAAGTTGCCATACATCACCAACGGAGTGCGGCTGCCGCAGCCAGAATCAAAGTCCTTCCTCGCTCGTTTCTTTAAGAAAAGCCCGGCTTATCGCATTACTCGCAAGAAAGGCAAGGAGCGCTCCCCCGTAGAGCATGTCTATCTTGAGTCGATGGATGTCAACGAATTTGAGGATGAGGGAGGAAAGCACTTCTCCCTCTACCGTTTCCGCGAGGACATCGCCAAGGAGCTAACCAAGGTCTATCGCGGCAGATTTTATCGCACCTGGGACGGCTGGTGGAAGGATTTCAACAGCATCAACTTGGACATAGACAAGGAACTGGACAAGTTCGAGGATTTCAACGTAAAGTATAACTTCATGCCTCCCGGCGTAACTTGGAACTTCGCCGATCTGATCAACAAGGCCAAGATCGCTCTGACCAAGAATCGTAACAACTATTTGGGTAACATGCGGATCATCTACGGCCTTATGGATCACACCATCCTGGCCAACATGCCCATGGAGGCAGTGGCCAAGCTGCAGGACTTGATCCGCAGTGTGCCCAATCACCTGTGGATCTACAAGTTGCGCTGCATGGTCTACCTCTGGTACAACTACAAACAGGTGATGGACAATAAGGACACCAAAGACAAGAAGTACCAGCACGTGTCCAAGGAGTGGAACAGCCCCGTCATCCACTGGGTAGCCAAGCAGGCCTTCAATGAGCTGCGCAACATCAGCCAAACCGAGTATCCAGCTTTTAACAAGCTCTATCGCACAGCCAAGGGTGCCAAGGCTTGAATTGAAATTTACAAAACTTACAACAGCTTACTCATTACCTAATTAAATGTAATAAACATAACATTGGATTGAATAAATATGCAACAATGAAACCTCTTTTGCAGCGATAATCCTATTACAGATTGTTATTCTCATTCTAGCGTAATCCCATCAAAACCCTTTTAATGTTTAATATTTAATATTTTTATACAAATAGAAAACAAAAAGCCAATTCTGGCAAAGCTACTTGTTTCAAGTGAATCCATACGCTGAGATCTGGCGCAATTTATTCAGCTCCACTTGCATAAAGTTGTTTAATTTGTTATCCCCAAAGTGCACCTGAGCCTCAGGGCTAAGAGGCAAGACCAAAAAAAGAAACAAATATATATACAAAAATATATCTGGAGGATGGAAAAAGAAAGCTGGGAAAGCCAAATGAATAAACCAACAGCAACGGAAAATGACGATACAAACCAAAGAGGAGGCTATGAAAAAATGCAAAGCGCTACTGCATATTAATCCGACAGAGTATTTCACTCAGACTCGAACAAACACACACACACACACACACCGGTATAGGGTGTCCTGGCAGCAGACGGACAAGTACACGGAAAGAAATATATATTTGTAAGGATTCTTTGGCAGCCAGATCTATACAGTTGTCTTTCCTAAAGTTTTTTTAAGATCTTACAACCAACCTGTTATTTCCCCTAATTCAAATTTATAAAGAAAAGCATTTAAAATTATATTAATTTTCTCGACGTGTAGGCAAGGCCATCAGGACACATCACGGTAAGGACAGAATATCTGCAGGATGGGCGACCGCGAAAGACATTTATTGTATCCTTAGCGCGGCTGACAGACGCGTGCTGAGACGATGATGAATTTGCTGCCGCCGATGCTGCCACCCACTGGCAGCCACCACCTCCAAGGCCACCCCACCCGGCGGGAGCACACCCCTTGCCCCTGGCTGAAGATGATGCCTCGAATGCTGGGCGGCACAAAGTGAAAAACTCGGCTGGCAGCCCAACGAAGCGGCAGAAATGACGACAGCTCGCCTTTGGGACGGACGCCGAGCAAGTGACGAAAAAAATGCAAATAAAATGCCGGCTTATTGAGTCAGTGGTGGTGATGGTGGCGGGGTTTTAGCCGACGAACAAGACACTTTTTAGTTGATTGAAAAAGGTGATGTCAAGGTTTTTCCTTCTCTTCTATTTCACTCTTTGTTGACCTTTTTTTTTGCCGTTAAATATGATAGAAGTTTTGCACTTTGATAAGCAAATGCTTTGAGTCCGTCTGCTAAGTAATAGTAAGTGGAGGAGGAAGGCTCACTGAAAGGAAAGTGGCCTGTAATCGCCAGAAACGGTTAATACATAATTGACAGGAATAAAAGAGCGAGAGATGGCTTAAAAAGATGAAATTTAAAAAGAAAATAATTTAAAGGTAAAAGAAGAGACGGAAAATTGTAAAGCCATGGCTTACTTTGTTTGTTGGCCTTTATTAAAGCGATTTAAATTTATTATAAATTTAATAATCACAAATGTTTTATTTTCATATTTATTTTTAATATTTTTATATATCGCAAATTTTCAATTTCAACGATTTACAAGGATTTTCGCACAGCAGAATGTTCATTTCATTTATCAAGATGAGATAGGTTCAAAAGCCATTGCTGGCTCATCCAAAAATATACACACCCGCCCACTCACACACTCGTTTGGGGCATGTATGTAGGTATGCAAACAGAGAAATGTAATAAAATACTAAAAAGCACAACAAAAAGGCGTCAGGTGCAGACAAACAAACACTTTCGCAGGCCCAGGAGCACCACTGGCAGCCAGGCGGGAAACATCCTTGAAGCCAGTGGGATATCGTGTTCACGCATTTATCTTGGCCCGAAGGCTGCTCGCACAGAGGCCCATTTAAAATGGTTACCTCCGGCACTTTTTGCTTAAATGAAAAGTGTCACACCTTGCCGGTATCCGGGAGTCTTTTATTTAAGAGCCCCGTCTAAAGTCGCTCTAAATCAGATTCCATTGTAGGCGCCGGCAGGAAGCGATTTTCGTGTCTTATCCAACTCACTCTTCAGGTGGGATTTCGGCTTAACTAAGGTGTACTTTCCCGCGATACTCTCAAAATGGTTCAAGTGCGCCTACTGGGACTTTAACGATTAACCTTGCTCAAAGGAAATTATTTTCGCCTGTCGAAACTGACTTTCTCTTTGTAAAAATAAAGATTTAAATCAAGTAGAAATGGTGTTGAGCGAAGAACAATAATAATTTAACAACAAATAATTGGGAATACATTTAAGATTTCGAATTCAATGTAGATTAATATATATATAATTCTCAACACAATAATTTAAATAATTTCTAGGCAAAATTCTATTCAAAATTGCTTTACTTCTCTCTGAAGATAAACATAATTTTCGTTGCCTTTAACAAACCTAGACTTACACACGTCATTAATTATAATTGAATTAAGAACAAAGCAGTCACGTACAGACGACACCTACAGCAATGCTCAATCATAATTTAAATTTTGGCCAGGACGAAGGTACAATGTAGCTGCTAATATGTATAATCTGAGCATGTGTGCGTGTATCCCCTACTAATGAGCAATTAAATCCGATTCTCATTAACTTGGCCCGGCTCATAATTCATATACTGAAATTTGCCACTTTAAATAGGACATCTCGAATCGAAGGACTCAGCAAAAGGGGAGGCTTGTGATATCATTAACACGGTGCGGAATTGATTATATATTTGCAGAAATTTGCAAATATGTCCAATGATTCCATGATAAATAAATTATTCTTTATTATTCACTGCAGTTGCTGGGCAGGAAACGAGAGGTGACAAAACAAGGGAAATCCGAACAAATGAATGATAAAAATGCCCAAGCATATTTATTTAAAAAATAAAAATCAATTAATTGGCAATTAATTACATATTCATTACATGAGTCAAAAATTAAAGAAATAAACAGACGGATTTTATGAATTTGAGGCATTTTTAATAACAAAATATCACAGTAAAATGAGCTACCTAATTAAAAGTAAGCCACACTAAATTCTGAAATGAATAAATAACAAGAAAGAAAGCTAACTTTGGCCAGCCAAAGTTTGTATACCCTTGCAGGTAACAATTAAAATATATCATAACTAAGCCAAAAATGCATTAATTTCGATTCGGAAAGTAGTTTTGTGTTTGTTTTTATTAATTTAAAAAAACTGCATACCAAATTTAAAATTTTAAGAAATCAAAATTTTTGGTCATTTTTGCTAATTTTAATGATGTAACCCCTTATCAAATTTCGCAAAAATGGCAAAAAAATCGATTTCTATCGGACATATCTAAAAAGATTCCCGTGTTAATGCTGATCAAGAATATATATGGTTTATGGGGTCGAAAATGATTCCTTGACTTGGAAAAATAGTATTTTGTATTATAAAATCGGATTTTTTATATTAAAAAACTTCTTGATTTTTTTTAAATTAAAAATATCATAACTAGGCCAAAAGAGCATTAATTTTAAATCGGAAAACTGTTCTGTGTATTATTTTCTACAGTTAATAAATCTGCATACTTCATTTAAAAATTTTGAAAATTCAATTTTATATCAAAATCAAAAATTTTAATGATGTATATAAAATTTTGCGAAAATGGCCAAAAAATCGATTTCTTCCTGACATATCTAGAAAGATTCCCCTGTTGATGCTGATCAAGAATATATATACTTTATAGGGTCGGAAACGTCTTCTTCACTGCGTTGCAAACTTCTGACTGAAATTATAATACCCTGAAAGGGTATAATAAACAATAAAGAGTGAAGCCAAACTCTTGGATTCAAATATCAAATTAAATGTGGCGCATTCCATTTCCCATTTGAAATATATGTTACTGGAATGTTGGTGTAAATCATCATCAGAGTTGCAAAATTGCATTTTGAAGTGAAAACTGTTTTGTTTTTCCGCCATGACTTTGTAACTAATAAAATACATGTGTTTGTTTGCAGGTTGCATAAATTGCAAACTACATTTGTAAATATTTCAGTTTCGTGTGTACATCTAAAACAGGATCAAGGACTCGCCGGCTCCTGTTGCATTCCAATTCGCTTATTTGAATTTTTTTTTTTTTATGTTGCAGTTGGCCGGCGAGTAAATCCAAATATTTATTCAGCAAAAATGCAATAAAATGAAAAGCCGCTTTCCCCCCAGTTTTCCACCCCTTAACAAGATTTGAGAGAGAGAGAGATTTTTCACAATTTGACTTCTCCGGCATTGCATGACAAATTGCATTTGAGGTTTTTCACATGGACATTGATTTAATTACCAAATGAATTTCCCTTCCAGCCAAGCCAGAAGTCGAGCAAAGAAGCTTAATTTCCCTCAAGTCTGGCCAGGAATTTGCATGTGCACTGCCCCGAATCCTTTTTATGACCATCCCTGTCGTCCTGTCCGGCTGTCTGGCTGTCTGCGTTTTCGTCTGCCCATTTGAGTAATTTCATTATGAGTTTTAAGACTTTTAATTAATTTAAAAGTGAACAATTTTACACTCTTTTTCATAACAACTCCGGCCTGGGTCCGGCCGTAGTCCGGTGCGGTCCGATCCGGCTTTTGTCCGCCGGAGTCCGAGTCGAGCCGGAAGAGTGGCATAATTTCCGCATCGTACCGCACCACCCCATCCCCGCTTCCCCAAAAAGTTGATGCAAACACATTTCATCTGCATTTCGAGTGGACCAAGGGCTAGGGCAGGCAGGGGCATCGCCATCCGCATTGGCAGCATCAACAGCATTCAATTAATTTTCCGTACTTCTGCCATCCACAAAAGCGAAAAGTTTTCCAGTCCGACATCCGGCATTGTTGCCAACTTGAATGCTTATTTACGGCTACAACGACGGCGAAGGCAGCACAAGTTCCCGGGATTATGCCGGGCATCATAAAACTTGTATCGAGTCGGTAAACTGGCAGATGAAATGAACAATCCGGGTGACAGCAGGCCCTGGCAAATACATATGTAGTACACTGAGCACTATTAAAATATTAATTGTAAGTCAATAAGAGCAGTCCCCTGAAATTTGGTTTATTTTTAGTTTTTCTTAAAATTGAAAACACATTCTTCTCACAACAAAGACACTTGCACAGTTACACCAAAAATCAAAGAAAAGAAATCAATAAAAAACCAACTAAAAAAATGTCTGCCGAAGTCGAAGAATTGCTAAAACGTTTCCAGGCGCTCAAGAACGTCATCGGTATCGTCGTGGTGGACAACGATGGGATACCGATCAAGACCACCTTGGAGTACAACTTGACGCTGCACTATGTGGCCCTGATGCAGACGCTGCGGGAGAAGGCGCGCCAGGTGGTCCAGGATCTGGACGCCACCAATGAGTTTACCTTCCTGCGGCTGCGAACGCTCCTGCACGAGGTGATGCTGTGTCCGCAGGACGATTACTTCATCATGGTGCTTCAGAATCCCTGCGACTAGCATTGGATTACCCCTCGCACGGGCAGGTGGAGGGAAAGTTACCATATTAATTCAGGACCGCGCCTCATTTCATTTGTTGCGAAAGTCAATTACGTGGCATTAAAGCGAGTGTTCGGCGTACAACAATTATTATATATGTATATATTTATTTTATTTTAACATAGCCGCCATAGTCTCGATTTCGTCATCCGGCATTCCGTCATTAATGGCATTCAGCTGCAAATTATTTGCATTGGGAATTGCAATTGAATTGGGAATGCCATCTGCGTGCGCCGCACAGTCTTATTCAATATGCATCCTTTGGCCCACGTACCTCAGCCTTGCGCTCCTCCATCCTGGCAAACTCATTTACAATAAATGAAGACTGACTGAGGCAGCCGCGAAACAAATAAACTTTTTTTACGGCCCTCGCCAGGATGCGAGCACGTAAGGATACCCGTAACCGGAGCGGTTGGGTCCTCCATTGGGTTTTGCTATTTTTCATTTAATTAAATATTTTACATACAAAGTGCATTATGAGGGAGGGTGGCAGGACCGCCACTGATAACTTTGCAGTGCCACAAGGACTCTCAAGGGGCAGGGTAGAGCAGAGTATCGATGGCAATCCATCTATCCATCGGTGCAATGTAAAACTATTCGTTCGAGATAATTGCGTAAGCATCAAATTGCATAAATGCGGCCATGCGAAGTGCAAAATGATTAGGAACAGGACCTGATCCTGAATACTATCTGCAGTTTTCCCTAATGATGTTGAACTGGGTGAGTGGAGTTAGGTTGAAGCCGTATAGATGAGTGAGTACTTAAAACAGAGAGGAAGAGGACATTCATTGGATTGCGTGAAGAGCTTGTGACTTCGTAGCGAGGCGACTTTTCTTAAATCTAATTTAATATTCTATTGAACCGATAAAGCTAAAGTATTAATCTATTTAAATTGTTATATATTTTAACATTATAATATCCTCTTTTTAATTCAGCTGTCAGAGTTCTGTCTTTCAAGAAGAGCATACAAAGTTGCAAGTAAATATTTTCCAATCAGCAAAGGTATTTACTTTCATGCAAAGTAAGTCAATATATTAAATTATTCTTGAGCTTAAATACTTTAGCTAAAATACAAAATATGATAAGCTAATAGATAACTTTAAAAATAATTAATATTTTGGTCCTATATAAGACCCACTCAATTCTGTTTTGACATCAGAGTTGTGAATTCAGTAAAGGCAGACTTACCAAGCAAACAAATTAAAATGTTTCTTAAGTGCCTACTAGCAGTCCTTGTGACATCTCTTGTGTCTGCAGAACGACTTCCTGGACCTGAAGAACGGATCATTGGTGGTAATCATATGGTCATCGAAGAAGCACCTTACCATGTGGGCATTTTGGAATATGGCGTACATAAATGTGGAGGCGCCATATACAGTGAGAGGATCGTTTTGACAGCAGCTCATTGCTTAAACGCCTCAAATGCCGAAATCTATTCAGTCCGAGCTGGGTCAAGCTTCCCGAATTTCGGTGGTCAAGTGGTGGATGTGCAAGAAGCGTACCGACATGAGGACTTCAAATATACTACAATCAAAAATGTAACGTTGGTTGCCAACGATATTGCTGTACTCCTTTTAAAGGATCGCATTAATCTAAATACCCAAAGGACGCGGAGTATCCAACTGGCTAAAAAGAATCCAGCAACTGGAACTGAATGCAGAGTCACTGGTTGGGGTGATACTATTTTCGGATCCAATTTGGGCGCTCCACGATTACTTGGCGCCCGTCTCAACATTTCGGATTATAAACTTTGCCGTACCAAATATTTTACTAAGTTACTAGGAGTTACTAAAGGTATGATTTGTGCCTATACGCCAGGTAAAGACTCATGCAATTTCGATTCTGGAGGTCCTTTGGTAAGCTTGCCAGACTTGAAGCTTATTGGCATCGTTTCCTGGGGATATAAATGCGCAGAGCCCGACTTTCCTGGAATATATACAAGCGTGTTTTCCTTTAGAGATTGGATCAAGAATACAATAAGTAAAATTCAGAAGAATACGATTCATAACTGAAGCATAAATTAGTTTTCAGCCAACAAAATAAAATGTTTAATTTTACTGAAAATAAAATCCAAGCTATACATATTTTTCACAAATTTTTTGATTTTTATTCAGCTTTTTATTTTTTTTAAATAGTGGTTTAGCCAGTTTTTTTTAGTGCACTTCTTGAAGAATCATAATAAACATGTTGAACTGGTCTAGGCTGCTTTTAATGTCTTAACTGTTAAATGATCTTCTTCTTTTAGGTTTAAAGTTGTTGTGGCCATCTAGCTTCAGGTAGCTTAGTTTTCCTGTACAATTTGTTGATTAATAAATGCCATTATAAATTAAACTTATCGGCTGAATGCGACCTACTAATTCCTAGATTAAATATCTGCATATTCACTCATCAGAGACAGTCAAAAAAATAAGAAGTACTCTTTGCAAAGGTGTGAAAATACGTAAAAACTTATTTTAAAGAAGAACATTTACTCCTTATCATATTAGCAATCTCTTAACTAACCTTTTCTCTCTCTGTACTCTGTTATTAACCAGCAGATAAGAAGCCATAAAGCCAGCTAGATTACAACTGAGAACTATATATAGAGCCGCTTAATAAACTGGTGGCATTGCTTTCTTGTCGCCACTAAAGAGGGGTTCACTGCCGAGAGTTCAGACATCGAAAGAAGAATTCTTAGGGAATACAGAAGCCCAACAAGGTTGAAATGCTTATAAAATGCCTTATTCTTCTCTCCGCAGCGATTCTGCTGACTGCAAGTAAGATTCCCGAACCAGGAGAACGGCTTGGAGATGAGCTGACCATTGTCAAGAATGCAGCTGCAACAAGCGACACCACATCGATATTGGTCCAGCTAAGGGAGCTGATGAACAGTGTCCAGGTGGGCAACTCCACCGGTATTGTGGCTTATATAGTGCCCTCCACCGATGCCCATCAGTCGGAGTACCTGAGCCGGCATGACGAGCGGCGCGCCTTTGTCACCGGCTTCGATGGCTCAGCAGGAACAGCGGTGGTGACCACCAATGCCGCCCTCCTCTGGACCGACAGTCGCTACCACCTGCAGGCAGAGCAGCAGCTGGACGACAACTGGGAACTGATGAAGCAAGGGCTGAGCGGCGTTCCTTCCATCGGAGTCTGGTTAGCCCAGAACCTCACAGCTGGCAGCTTCGTGGGCGTAGATCCCCGCCTGATGTCGTTCCGTGAATGGCAAACCATCGAAACCCAGCTGATCTCCGCGGGAATTAAACTGGTGCCCGTCGAGGAAAACCTTGTGGACAAAGTTTGGGGCAACGAACAGCCCGCTCAAAACGCCAATCCCATAGATACGCTCAAGCTGCAGGTCGCGGGCAAGACCATTGCCAGGAAATGGGAAGATGTGCGCCAGCAGATGAAGCAGAAGAGTGTGGACGCATTGGTGGTTAGTGCCCTTGACGAGATCGCCTGGCTGCTCAACCTGCGCGGATCAGACATTGAGTTTAACCCCGTATTCTTCTCCTACATGATTGTGACTGAGGACAAGCTACAGCTCTTTGTGGATCTGGTGAAAATCCCCGCTGACTTTGACAAACACCAATTGAGGAACAATGTCACTGTAACCCTCTCTTCCTACGAAAAAATTTCCCTGGAGATTCGTAAAATCGTGTTGAAGAAGAAGTCTAATATCTGGATTGCACCCACCAGCAGCTACTACCTCACCGCCTTGATTCCTGAGTCCCGAAGACTCCAGGCAGTGACGCCCGTGAACCTACTGAAGGCGATTAAGAACCCAGTTGAGGCCCAGGGCTTCGTCAACAGCCACATCCGGGACGGAGTGGCTCTCTGCCAGTACTTCGCCTGGCTTGAAAACCAACTGAAGCTGGGCAGGGAGGTGGACGAGATATCCGGCGCCAAAAAATTGGAGTATTTTCGGGGATCAAAGGAAAACTATGTGAGGCCTAGCTTTGAGACGATCAGTGCTTCTGGACCCCATGCATCTCTGGCTCACTATAACCCAAGCAACGACACGAAGAGGAGGATAACCGACAAGGAAATCTACCTGTGCGACTCGGGAGCTCAGTACTTAGACGGCACCACGGATGTGACGAGGACTCTTCACTTTGGTGAACCCACTGACTTCGAAAAGGAGGCCTACACTCGTGTCCTTAAGGGACAGCTGAGTCTCGGTTCCGCTGTATTTCCCGCCTTAGTGAAGGGTCAAGTTCTGGACACTCTGGCGAGGAAGGCCCTCTGGGACGTTGGACTGGACTATGGTCACGGAACTGGTCACGGAGTCGGTCATTACCTCAATGTTCACGAGGGTCCAATGGCCGTGGGACCAGGTTATGTAGCCGACGATCCCGGCCTGCAGGCGAACATGTTCATCTCCAACGAACCTGGTTTCTACCAGGACGATGATTTCGGCATCCGCATCGAGGACATTGTCCAAATTGTGCCCGCCCAAACGGCTTACAATTTTACAAATCGCGGAGCCCTGACCTTCAGAACCGTCACCATGTGCCCGAAGCAAACGAAGATGATCAAGAAGGAGCTTTTGTCCGAGGCGGAGGTGAAGCTGCTCAATAGCTATCACCAACTAGTTTGGGACACCTTGGCACCTGTATTGGTCGGTCAAAAAGATCTATTCACCTTGTCCTGGCTGAAGAAGGAAGTCAAAGCGATTTAAAACTTATTATTTTGGTCATTCAAAATGGAAAATATAAACTTTTTACTCTGAAGTTATTCTTTTAATTTAGTGTCTTTCAAAAAATAAATACAATTTTAAGTAAAAATACAATTGAAGTTAAAATAAACTAAAAAGTATATTTTTATACTGGCCAGCTTTATTTTCAAAAGGGTTATCAGCGACTGTGAAACTCGTAGTCCTTGAAGAGGAATACAACCTCGTCATGCCTTTATTAAAATAACCATAATATATTATGAAATTATATATATTATTTATGCCGATAATATGTTTCAACAGTATTAATAATCCATTCCTTTAGCGCTGCGACGTCAGTATGGAACTCGGGGAGTTCCCCAGCACATGTATGCACACCAGAAACGATGCCAATAAGTCTTTGGGGGTGCAAAGTAACCACTGGGCCTCCTGAATCTAAACGGCAAGCACCACGGCCAATGGCATATGCACAAGTAGCGTTTACTGGAATTGCAAAGTTGTCGGCAATATAAGCTTCAAAGCATTCATTGCGATCCACGATGGTAAGGATAGTTCTCAGCAAAATTTCCTTAAAAAATAGGAACGGCCTATCGTGCAGAGCGCCCCATCCTGTGACCAAAACATTTGTTCCTGGCTCTGGTGATTCTTCAGCCAGTTTGATGGGCTGCACTGTTGGTCCCAGCTCAAGTGGAGAGGCCAGAAACAGTACAGCTATATCGTTTTCCAGAGTATCAGTACTGGAAACATAATCTTGGTGCAGAATAACACGATCGACCGAGACAAGTTGTCCTCCAAAATTTTTAAGAGCGGATCCAGCCCGAACTGATAGACCTCTGAGTTTTTTTCCTTTAACACAATGGGCGGCAGTCAGGATAACCCTCTGGTTGTAGATGGATCCTCCGCAAAAATGCTTTTCATTTCGAAGAAGAGCCACTTGCCAAGGAACATCCTCGATAGGCACGTAATCTCCGCCAATGATCCGTTCTTGCTGCTCTGGTATCCCCTCTGCAGACAAAAGGGCAGCTGTACAGAGAACAATAAAGTACTTTTCCAACATATCAAATTTTTTTTTTAAATTTAACTTGTAAACTGAGGCAGTGAACTATTCTTTTATAGAGCCAGAGAAGCCGTGCCACTAAACAAAATTATATAAAGTTACCGTAAAGTAGGAAACCTAATGGATTCTTATCTACGAATTTCAAATTGCATATTTATACCCTTGCAGGGTATTATAATTTCAGTCAGAAGTTTGCAACGCAGTGATTGAGACCTTTCCCACCCTATAAAGTAATTTTATATAATTTTAGGATTGTCAGAGATAAAGCTGGAGGAGCGAGCAGATGGCTGGACAGATCTCAACCGGATGGCAGTAGAGGACGGTGATCGGATCTTGGCTCCGGGCTATATGAAAGCCTGCAGAAGGCGTAAATATTTAAAATATTTATAAATACAATTTAAATATGTAAATGTAATTGATGGAACACACAAATATGAATCAATAAAAGATGGTGAATTCAATGTGCAATTGTTTGGTGAAGGCGGCATTTATTTGGGATCGTTTGGGGAAAAATCTAATTATTTTGAAAGCCAAATCTAAATTTTTAAATTTTTTTTCTGAATTTTAAACATTTTTTTCGGATGTTTTATAATTTTTCTAAATTAAAATTTTTTTTTTAATATTTAAAACTTTTCTTAATTCTTAAAATTTTGTCTGAATTTTTAAAATTTTTTTCAGATTTTTTATATTTTTTAGAATTTTTTTTAGAATTTGTTAAATTTTTTTAAATGTTGTAACTGCCAAATTTGAATTTGAATTTAACTGCCAAATTTGAATTTAAATTTAACGACGATCAGTTTCAGTGTGCCCAGGTGCAGTTGTAAAATAACACCTAAATTTGGATTCAAACGGTTTGAGTCTGCGCTATCTTTCGCCGGCTCCGAAATGGTTTGAAACTTGGACAACATTTACAATATGGTCACACTAGCACGTTTTTCGTGGCCCAAAGTTTTTATAACAGTTTATAACAGTTTTCAGTTGCTTGCTGCTGGCTTCTGTTCGCCTGGTACCCCAATTTGGGAAACGGGCAATTTGCATGGAAATTTTTGGAAATTTGGATGGGCTGCTGCAGGGATGTTGTTGTAAAAAGGTTGTTGTTGCCATAAGCTTTTGTTGTCGGCAACAAATAAGGTATAAATGCATAAAATGAAATATAACAGTTTATACCAATTATTATTTTTGCCCATAAGTTTTTATAACAGTTTATACCAGTTTTCAGTTGCTTGCTGCTGGTTTCTGTTCGCCTGTTACCTCAGTTTGGAAAGCGGCTAATTTGAATGAAAAGTTTTGCACACTTCCATCAGTGATGCTCACTTCCATCAGTGATGCTCACTTCCATCAGTGATGCTCACTTCCATCAGTGATGCTCACTTCCATCAGTGATGCTCACTTCCATCAGTGATGCTCACTTCCATCAGTGATGCTCACTTCCATCAGTGATGCTCACTTCCATCAGTGATGCTCACTTCCATCAGTGATGCTCACTTCCATCAGTGATGCTCACTTCCATCAGTGATGCTCACTTCCATCAGTGATGCTCATCACTGGCAGCTAGTGAGATGCAATTTTCTACCAATAATGCAAAAAAATAGCTAGATGAGCATCACTGATGCACATACGCATCACTGACATTAAGCCCGACTTTATTGCCAGATGAGCATCACTGATGCAGATGAGCATCACGCATGCAGGTGAGCAAAAATTTCCAACCAATTTGGCCGTTGCCCAAACTGGGGTAACAGGCAAACAGAAGCCAGCAGCAAGCAACTGAAAACTGTTATAAACTGTTATAAAAACTTTGGGCCACGAAAAACGTGCCAGTGTGACCATATTGTAAATTTTGTCCAAGTTTCAAACCATTTCGGAGCCGGCGAAAGTTAGCGCAGACTCAAACCGTTTGAATCCAAATTTAGGTGTTATTTTACAACTGCACCTGGGCACACTGAAACTGATCGTCGTTAAATTCAAATTCAAATTTGGCAGTTAAATTCAAATTCAAATTTGGCAGTTACAACATTTAAAAAAATTTAACAAATTCTAAAAAAAATTCTAAAAAATATATAAAATCTGAAAAAAATTTTAAAAATTCAGACAAAATTTTAAGAATTAAGAAAAGTTTTAAATATTAAAAAAAAAAAATTTAATTTAGAAAAATTATAAAAAAAAATTATAAAAAAAAATTATAAAAAAAATGTTTAAAATTCAGAAAAAAAATTTAAAAATTTAGATTTGGCTTTCAAAATAATTAGATTTTTCCCCAAACGATCCCAAATAAATGCCGCCTTCACCAAACAATTGCACATTGAATTCACCATCTTTTATTGATTCATATTTGTGTGTTCCATCAATTTTTCATTTCATTGCATTTTACGTATACTTATTATGTTTAAAGTTTGACAGTTACAGTTTTGCATTCCCAGCTTTACATTTTCTCTACATTTACCGATCGTTTATATGGCACCTATATGATATAGTTGTCCGATTTTCATGAACATAATAAGTATAGTTAAAATGTAATAAAATAATATCTGCAAGGGTATACAAACTTCGGCGTGCCGAAGTTAGCTTCCTTTCTTGTTCTTTAAATAAGTTTAGTCAGTTAACAGCACAAAAAGCAAGTGAGAAACTGAATTGATTTTCTAAATAAGACCTATTACTGATGGCAAAACTCTTACATTTTAAAGTCCTACTATCTCTTAATTATATATAGCCGTACAATATGCAAACTATTCCTTTTCTCTGATAAAACTATGCATTCTTTGACCTCCATAATGCCATAGCTTTTGCTGAACTTCCTCAATAAAAGCAAACTTTGTATTTAATAATTATAGGAAAATATTAAGCTTATCTTTATCTATTTTAATACATAAGGGGCGATTTATATTTTTAGAAGTCAACAGATAAAGTGTTTTCCGTTTCAAGCCATATAAAAGAGCGGATCCCATTTCAGTTCTTACAACCAGATCTCAAGTTATCAAAGATCAAAAATGTTCTTGAAGTGCTGGATTATTTTCTCGACTGCAGTCCTGCTTTCGGCTGAACGGATCACCCAACCGGAACAACGGATTGTAGGAGGACATCGACTGTCCATTGCGGAGGCTCCTTGGCAACTGGGGGAAGATATGAAGACAATTCCCCTGGCTAAGAATACAGCAAGGCCTGGGACCAAAGCCTTCGTGAGTGGTTGGGGAAAATGATATTTTCTTTCACGAGGTGTAGAGGTAGTCATTGCAGATCACCTAAAGTGTACCCTTGCCCTGGCGTCTGACAATAAAGTTGTTACTCGGGATAATTTAGGTGCCGCAGCGCCAGGAAGAGATGCGTGCAAGGGCGACTCCGGCGGTCCTTTGGTGGATATCGAAAATGGCCATCTTAGCGGCATCGTTTCATGGGGCAGCGGCTATGCCGATCCCAGATATCCGGGAATCTATGCGGATGTGGCTTTCTTCAAGGACTGGATCGGTGAAGTTATCTCCAATTCATCACTCTTTCTTTCTGATAATCGATCCATGAAATAATTGTGTTGCAAAGGCGGCTTTATAGTATTTGAATAAATATTTTATAGACATAGCAGTTCAAGTTTCCTGGATCAAGTCAGTCTACTTTCACCTGTCACAGCATGTCCGGCATATTCATATTTCTGTGTCTTCCCATATCCGGTTTCCGTATACGATCCAGTGCCATGTGTGTCCTTTAACAGCAATCGCAATACCACAAAATATTGCTTGCAATCATATATCCCGTTGTCCATAGCCGTAACACGTGTCTGTGTTCCTTTCCGTGGGCAAGTTCCCAGCCTGCCCGAAGATGTTGAAAGCAGACAATCAATGCCACACCTCATCCAAACATCCATCATTAACCAAAGCGGTCATCAATCGTCAGAAGAGCAGCAACCGGCCACCTCCGCCTCCGTGTCCCAAGCCAAAGAGAAGCCACATCCTGGAAATGCACGATATATTCCTAAAGCACGACAGCCGTGGGGACAACAAGATCGCCGTTGGCTCTCTGGGTGACTGCCTTAGGGCAATGGGCGCCAATCCCAGCCAGCAGGTGATTAAGAAGCACATCAGCCTACTGGAGACTGGCACCATTCGGCGCATCTCCTTCGACGAGGTCATGGCCATATACAGCAGCCTTGGCAAATGTGCAACCAAGCCGAGTGCACGCAGGAGACAGGCCCAGGAAGATGAGTTCACATTCAGTCTGCGGCTCTACGATGTCGACAACTCCGGTTACATGCCAGCATCAAGGCTCCGGCGTATCCTTACACGCTGCGAGGATTGCATGACCGAAGCCGAGGTGAACGAACTGCTAGCGGGAAGGATCGATGCCCATGGTATGGTTAACTACGGACAACTGATCCACGACATTGTCAACGGTTAGTTATGGAGCAGAACCAGCAAATGAGGAAGAGCGAAGCCCAGAAAACAAAGACTTGGTTGGCAGGTGAAAGTTAAATGTTAATAAATGTTTGTAAAATCCCCGAAAGGGCAAACTGGCAGGTTTTTTTTTTTTGGTTTAAGAAACTACATTAAATAATAGCTAAAAAAATCTTGGCAAATACCAACACATTGGAATAAAAACCCTTGCACAGCAGGGAATCAATCCGAAACCCCTCTCAATGTCATCATTTATCCAGTGTGCCACATGTGGTATCATCAATTGTTCGCTCGATTCCCTTCTCCGCAGGGGGAAATGAATGACCCAAAAACGCAATTGGACAGCCGAGTTCATCATCCGTCCGAAATCCCTGGGAGAGTCCGAGGCCAGTGCAATGGATTGCAAATAATTTCAAAGCATTGCCCACCACATGACCAGTGCCTAATGCTAATTCGTGATGATGCCTCCAGCTTTGGTCAGCGATTCTGTTGCAACATTTTGGGGGTTTGGCGCTGGCAGTGGGATGTGGAATGTGGATAAAGAGTGCTCCATCTGGTGGCAATAAATGCAGAAACATGTACTGCCCTCGGAACGATGGGCAGCATATGCAAATGCTGTCAAAAACATTCCGATTGCTGGCATATTTCCGACACATTTCGATTGCTTTCTGTTTTTTGGGGAGGGAGGAATAGAAAAAGGAAGCTGACGGCCAAAAGTCAAAATCAATTGCTAAAAAAGGCTCCGAGGGGGGAATGGAGCTGCTGAGCGTGAGTCCACAACAACTGACCTTCTATGCCCCGTACCATGGTCCACAGAGGCGAATACTGACCCTGCTGAATCCCACCCATATGGTGGTTCTATTCAAGGTGATTTGTTGATTTATAAACACAACTAATGAAGCACAAATATTATTTAATTCCCTATTCATATCGTCCAGATCAAGTCAAATGCCTTTAGGCACTATCGTTTGAGGCCCAATGCTGGAAAGGTGGAACCCTATGCCACAATCGAGGTCCGGATCTGCCTGCAGTGCTTTGACTTTCACGAGGACCAAAAGTATAATCATTATTTAAGCATTCAATCTTTTCTCAAGCCCGAAAACTGTTTTAACGGCGAAACCACCTTGGCCTTTTTCCGAAGCCTTCCTCGGGAGCAAATTTACACCAAATGCCTGCCCATTAACCTGGAAAACAAACCCCTTTTCCTATCCAAATGTGGTCCGGAGTCACCCTGTTTGGAGAAAATGGTCATGGAAAGAAATCGTCCGCTGAGACCTTTCTGCCCCAAGTGTGCAGTACCTTCGGGACCGAAAAAATACCAGGAAAATGGAATTAAAATCGTGGTTATCATCACAGTCTTCCTGCTTGCAGGTAGTTATGGGAAATGTCTTTATCGAACGGATACTTTTAGGTTTCTCTTTAGTTTTTCTTACAGCATATTTGCTAGTGCGGGAGAAGCTACAGAGCTCTATTCAAAATCACTTACCATTCATTCATAAAGATAACTCTCAAGATAGTTGTACGGATAGCTCATCATGTACTTGTAGCTCCTTAGAAGGTTGTGACTCACTAGACAGTTGTATAAGTCCTGAAATTTCCAGAATAAATTCTATTTAGGATATAGGTAAATTTATTATTTTAATTACAAAAGAGCCCAGTAAATCTATTCGCCGTAGTTAAAATAATTTTATTGAATTCTAACATACACTTTAAATATAAATAAGTATAAACAAAATGGTTAAAGTTGAATACAATTCGCTGTAAAATTCAAGCACCTAAAATATTCTTTAAACAAAAAGGAATCTCCTCAGTAACCCACTCTAGTTTCAGTAGGTTCCCCGCAGTTCCCATGCCATGAGAAGCCCCATGGAACACCGTGGACATTCCAAGAGTAACTCAAAAGGAAAGTCCAGCGTTGCCGAGTGTGCCTCTCCTTTGACTGATGACAGTTGAGGACATTAAACAGAAAGCGATGGGCATCAGGAGAAAGCCCTGTTCAGCCTGATCTCCACGCCATCTTGTCCGTGCAATCAAGGGGGCAGGTGGTTATACCGTGGATGGAGTCAGGAGTGGGCAGGTGGTCAGAGGTCACAGGGCGTTTCCATTGGCTAATTGGCGGCCGGAGTTCATTAGTGTGCGAGTCACACGCTGATTAGGTGGTTGGATTCGGATGCGGTTGCAATTTGGTGTCGCAACCACAACAACAATAACAATCAAATGAAATTGATGGCATGGAAACGGGATGCAAATGGATGTGATGTAGGTGTCCTTTGACCCGGTTAAATGTCTTTGAATTAGCCAGAAAGATAAGCAGCATAATGGTCTTTGTTCATGTAAGCTTGAAGGTTAGGGAAAAACTTAATTGTATTCCGAAGTTTAATATAATTAAATTAGAATTTTAAATCCTTCACTAATATCATAATTTGTTTCATATTTCCTTTGCTATTATTCAAATGACAATATTTTTTTCTTCTGGGTATCTAGAAGAGATCTGAGATTTGGTGAATTGAAATGTGACCAACAAGGTTGCATACAAGGGTGGACACAACCGGCAACAAAGCCTCCTAACCTTGGCTTAAAAACTTACCGCAAAACTCCTGGTGAAAATGCCACAAACTCGGACAAACCGACCGAGCGGCAAACGAGCAAAAGTCGGGGGAAAAGAACGTCCCTGGGGAAAGGCCCATTCATCGGAGATGGCAAACAAACAAGATGTGCCGAGGCCATAAATTAGCATCACTTAAGTGCGCAGACGAGAGTAGCATCGAGTTGCTCCGGGGGCGTGTACTCCTTTCAACGATTAATTGCAGCCCAACCCCAAAGGACACAAAAGGAGCTCGTCGGCCAGGGGTGACATGAACGTGAATATAAATGGCTAATCAGGCGGGGACAAGGACACAAACACACACAAATGTCATGTGGGACAGTTAATGATATCTACAAATCCCAAAACTCAATCAATGATTTCGATGAGCGGGCGGGAAAGAAGATGGCAAGTCAAGAGAGGTAAGTAATGCGACATGAACATTACCATTTTCCCTATAATTAGTATTAGTAAGTTTTCCCAGAAAAATATTAAAGAATACATTTTAACTTACTGTCACAAGTTTCTTGCTTTAGTTTATTAATAAAACCAACTCGAGGTGTTTTTCAAGAAGGCTTTCCGGCACCTTATCATTCCACTGCATTGACTCTGCACTTTTCTCTTAATGAGGAGAGCAATTAGTTCGCCTGCAAATACAAGGGGGACTCGGGGTTAAGGCTCTCCACCCACGGGACTGACCTTGATTAACCCCGCTGTCCGCTGTGGCCATCCCTCTTTCACTTGCCATAAATCGCATTTTATGGCTTTCCATTACGCTGGGCAATTGTAGTACGTATACGTATACGTAATATGCCCTCGGCAGCCTCGGCACTGGTAACCCATTTTTATGTACGCAACGCATTTTTTTCGCACTAGGCCACACATTCGTGCAGCCTGTCGCCAATCGGTGACTTATTGCATTCTCCCTTTCCTTTTTCCTTTCACCACGATTTGCCCCACGACTTTTCACCCGCATTTCCAGCTAGCGACAAGCAATGCAGTCAACTGAAAACGCTCTGAGCAAATAAACAAAGAAGGAGCGAGGCGAAGGCGTCTAGAGCAAGTGCATCCAGCAAGGTATGGGTGGGTGGATGTGGGTGTCTGGATGTTGGAGGTTAAGAGGGATAGTCTTCTGGGGCACGGAGCTGGGCTGCATTTGCTTGCCAAAGCGGATTTTTGGGCCAAAGAGTGTGTTCACCTTGACTCATTCGCGGATTTTTCCGCTTTTCCTTCATCTGCCACGGCATCTTTCCATGATTTTCCACCACCCTTTCCCTGCTTCCTCTCTTGCTTCTTTGCCGTTTGTTTGTCTTTGTTGCGACCCCCCTTAAACATTTTTAATGAGTTGCAATGCAAAGAGGAGGGGAGTCCTGTCAAAGGATTCAGGGATCAAAGCTTTGACGCTCTGCTTCTGGACAGAGAGAATTTTAATTGTGAAATGTTAAAGTTGATGGGGGGTATATTACTATGAACAAGTTTTTAATTAAATTTAATTAAAGAAATTTTCTGGAGAAGAAAAAAACGAAATATAGATATTAGTATTATGTATAATTCCTTTAATTCGAGTGCTTACACATGGGATGCAAGTGACATGGATTACTTGTATTATTTACTTGCAGCCTGCCTTTAATACAGAATTTAACATCGATTTTATTTCAATTGGAAACTGATAAAAACGCGCCAATTAATGCGTACATTTTCGAAAGTTTTAATTCAAATAGCTCTCTGGCAATTTAAATACACTGTTTTTGCTGCCATGTGCCACTAACGTGCTTGTTTCCTCAATTGGCGGTGAGTGCCAGCGGGAAGTGCAGCACTTCAAAGTGATATCATGTCAGTGGCAATGCAAATTATTGCACTTTAAAACGCAGACAAACAAACACCCGGAAGCTCTGCAAAAAAAGAGGGACAGAAAATTCTGTACAAAAAAAATGTTAAAAGAAATGGAAGCAAGCTGGGGAAAAAATCACTTCACCATGCAGTGACTGACAGCGGCTTACGCATCGCTAAATATTAAAGTGGCAATGAATACAAATTGTCTCGTCAAAAGCCTCTCGCAGGACAATGGCAACGAGTCTGTGGAGTGGAAGGATAAGCCACCCCTTGGAGCCACTCCGAGAATTGATTGAGTAAGCATTTAAAGGGATAACTTTGATGCCTCAAAGCAATGTGGAGAGATGTGCTGGAAGTGTGTGGAGTGCAGAGTAAAGTCCAGGGCTAAACTTTCAAGCTAAGTGATTCTTAGTTAGTTAATTGGATCAACTATGTTTGTGCAGCTTGCTGCTTCTGCTGCTCTCCTAATATGGAAATTTATGGGGCCAAAAGTTGGACGCAAGTGGGCGAAAAGTTTTCCTTTTCCGGCCAGCAGCTGTTTCCCCTGCCGAAAGTTGGCCCAACTTCAAGTTCAATGGCTTTAATAAGCTGGCCAATTAGGCGAGTCCATCTCGAGTCCACTAATCTCAAAAATTCCACTCGAATGCCTAGAAATGCCGGCTAATCGAAATGCTTTCTTACCCGGGAAACCCTCGAGTCGAAGAGGGCGATGGATGCTTCTCAAGTGGCCAACGGTGGCCTTCAAGGAAGCGGAAAGAATTTCCACCAGTTTAGACCAAGGCCAAATCAAATATTTGACAGACAGGCGCGGAGGCGCATCGTGCCAATGGGAAAAGCTGTCGAAAAAATGACATCTTCTAAGTATCCATTTATTATTCAAGTGCGCGGGGATTTCACTGGAAAATTAAACGACAAACCATTAATTCTGCTTGCCCCCAAAATACAAATTCAATTGATGAAATAAATGAAAATTTAATTTCCTTCCCTCATTGTTCTGCCTACAATTGAAATAAATTGTGTGTGTGTGGGGAAATTCCGGGTAATATTTTTTGCTCTCTCATGCTCTCGAGAAAAGTTGCTGTTAATGGCAGAGCCAGGGAAAATTTTCTGGCCCAATTATAAAAATGAGCTTGCCAAATTGTTTGGCCAGCACTGAGCTGGCAAAAACAGCTCTTAATGACATTTTAATTTATGTTTTTGTTACTATATATAGAGTTTATTGCTGGCTGGATTTAGTAAACTCTGATTCTGTTACCCTTCGCCCTTGGATCGAAATTAAAGCTGTTCTGATTTCAGAAATTTAATGGTCTCTTCTGTACTAGAAATCGAAACATTCCGCAATTTTGCTAGTCCCCGCCCCGAGTGACTTCATTTGGAAATCAAAAGCTCAGCGGCTAAGCGGCTTACGAGGTGGCCTAAGCCTGATGGCCAAGGTGTTGGCCAGCCGATCGAATGGCCACAACTACAATTGCGACTGCAAATAGCCTCCGTAAATATCCAGGGCCCAACCATGTCAAGAGCTAATAAGCAGGCTCTCCGGGATTGAACACGAAGCGAAGGGAGGCAGGCAGGCAGGCCAGTTCGTTAAGCCGGTGTAAGTTAATTAAAACGCAAACAGGCAAATGGCAAATGATCAAAGTGCCAAATACAGTGGCCCAAATGGGGTTTTTGGGGTGCTGCTATAATGGCGAATCACTTTGCACCGCAAACAGAGTCCACCGAACTGGCAGTTGAAGCCATGTCCCCCCTCAATGCCACATCCACTTGCCATGTTAACTGCAACATGTGTCAACTGGTTTTGTGGCGGCTGCAAAGGGCAGGAGCAGCGGTTACCACTCCCATAGACATACACTGGGGTATCCGCACAACATTGATAGAACACACACACACCTCGTTGCCGAAATTTATTGAAGCCCATCAATTCAAAGCCGCGCTAACTCCGCCACCGAAGTTCGCAGGCCGCGTTTGCAAAAGGACCAACAGCATGTTAATGCCAGGACCTGCCCAGAAGGATAGCTATCTGTTAGATGATAATTGCATAGACACTTCATCACGGTCGGGAAAATTAATCTGTTGTGCCAGACAAAACCTCAGGTGGAAATTCGAAGTCTATATGTACTTTAAAAACATTATTTTTTTGGGTAATTGTGCATCGGCTATCTAAGTCTGCAGGAAAACCCATTTTTGGAGTCAATTATCTAGCAAAACAATTCAAATTTAGTTTTCGCCAAAAGTTTATTCACTTCTTAATGTGCACCTTTTGGGTAGCCCACATTTGTTGACTCTTGCATAAATTATAATTATTAAGTGCAGCAGCCACGCCAGCAAGAAAAACACAATTTATTATGCTTTGTTTTCCCTGGTCGTGTGTATTTTTTTTTGTATTTTGGGTTTGCTGTCAAGAGCACTTTCAGAGCCATTTTGGTGACCCCAAAGGTTGTTTGTTTTCTCCACTCACTTAAAATGAAACTGCAACAACAAGCACTTGCAGCAAAGTGTGTGCTCCAAAACACAACTGGAACAATTACCACTCGAAATTGTTACTTTTTGTTAAAGAATTTCACTATTTTTATTAATTTATTTTATAATTAGCTTCTTGTTCCTTTAGAAAGTTTCTAAATCCTTGGCATTTTCTTCAATCCATTTCCGTAAAGCTGGCACATTGGCATACACTGTGGGGAAAGCTGGATCTGCACAGCCCTCGGCCCACGAGACAATGCCAACCTGCTGGCCATTAAAAACCAAAGCTCCGCCAGAGTCTCCTTGGCACGTTCCCTCATTCACATTTGAGGTACACAGCATATTCTTTGTGATCGAATAATCTTTGTACAATATTTTGCATTCTTCCAGATCCACAATATCCGTTTCGAGCGACTGCAGAATTTCCGTTTCTCCATATTCTGTGATTCCCCAACCAGTCACAGATGTCGTGGTTCCTGGAGGAGGAACTTTCTCGGCAAGTTCAATGGCCTGAATAGAGTAGTCTTCGTCGAGATTAAGTGGGTAGTCAAGGAACAGCAATCCCACATCGTTGTCAAAGGAATAGGAATCGTACTTCTCGTGGGTTCTAATCAAGGAAACTCCAACCAGGCTGCCATAATAATTATTATAGCTGGAGCCCAATCGAACACCTAAGTTCTCGGGATAATATTCCACAAGGCAATGAGCAGCGGTTAGGATAATTCTGGAACTATAAATGGATCCGCCGCAGATATGACTCCACAAATATTGGATAGACACTTGCCAGGGGGCATTCTCAATGGCTTCGTCCGCGCCGCCAATAATATATTTATAGGGAACTCTTCTCCCAGAGGTAAGGCCCACCACTAAAAGTGGAAACAATTGTAGACTACGGCAGTCCATTGGCAGTTGGCAATAACTTTACCAGGTGTAATTCCAGATCTTTTATAGCTTTTTTAAGGTATGAGCATGCGGATATATAGACATGGATTATCTCTGCATATTTTAAACACAAAAAGCGTTTAGGGAAAATTTTGTTTACTTGGGCAGATAAGGTTCTAAGTTACTACATAAAAAAAGAAGTATGTGCTACGTTTCTCGTTTCAGTTTCAGCTTCAATATTCCTATAATTTTTCAGGCAAAATGGTATTTTCTAATTTAGAATATTGAATATTATAAATAAAAATATGTACAATTTTTATTTTATTTAATATTAAAAGAAACTAAGGGTAAGTATTTTTAGACTATAAAGTTATTTTTTACACTTAAGCCCTTACTTAAGCCCTACTGTAAATTATTTTACGACCCTTAACATTTAAAGCAACGCCTAAAACCTTTCCCTAAGAGATAACTAAGCTCGTTAACCAAAAAAAAAAATAAAACAAGAAAGAAAGCTAACTTTGGCCAGCCAAAGTTTGTATACCCTTGCAGGTAACAATTAAAATATATCATAACTAAGCCAAAAATGCATTAATTTCGATTCGGAAAGCAGTTTTGTGTTAGTTTTCATTAATTTAAAAAAACTGCATACCAAATTTAAAAGTTTAAGAAATCAAAATTTTTGGCCATTTTTGCTTATTTTAATGATGTTACCCCTTATCAAATTTCGCAAAAATGGCCAAAAAATCGATTTCTTCCTGACATATCTAGAAAGATTCCCCTGTTGATGCTGATAAAGAATATATATGGTTTATGGGGTCGGAAATGATTCCTTGACTTAGAAAAATATTATTTTGTATTATAAAATCTGATTTTTTATATTAAAAATATATTGATTTTTTTTAAATTAAAAATATCACAACTCGGCCAAAAGAGCATTAATTTTAAATCGGAAAACTGTTCTGTGCAAGATTTTCTACAGTTAATAAATCTGAATACTTCATTTAAAATTTTTGAAAATACAATTTTTTATCAAAATCAAAAATTTTAATGATGTAACCCCTTATAAAATTTTGCGAAAATGGCCAAAAAATCGATTTCTTCCTGAAATATCTAGAAAGATTCCCCTGTTGATGCTGATCAAGAATATATATACTTTATAGGGTCGGAAACGTCTCCTTCACTGCGTTGCAAACTTCTGACTGAAATTATAATACCCTGCAAGGGTATAATAAAGTTGATCTGAAAATCCAATTTACCACAAGCAACCTTTAAAAAAGGCATAAGTTCGACCAATTGAAAAAATGTAACCTCTCTTAATTTTCTCCTCGCTCTTTGCCAGGGAAATTTGGTGAGTTTGCGTTCAGTGGGAAATTTTCTTTTCCATTTCTTTACCAGAGTGTGAGAGCCTGTGTGGAAGTGTGTGTGTGTGCTGGGCATTTGTGTGTGTTGGCAAATCTTTTTGCCGGTTTGTTTATCTTACATTTGAAGCATATCGGCGAGGTTTTTTATGCGCTTCTTTAGCCGGCATTTATAGCCCATTCAAAAGAGAAACAAAAGTGCGTGGATAGGTCTGTGTGTATTTGTGTGTGTGGGATTTGAGCTGCCAATTGATTGTTTTTATATAAATTTCAGCGTGTGTGTGTGTGGGTGTGCCAGACTACAAATATTCACCCGCTTTCATTTGTCTGATAGATTTATTTAAATATTTATGCTATTGAAATCGCTTTCTATTTTTGCTGGACGAAAAATCAAAGAAAACAAATCAAAAGTTTTTCGTTAAAGGATGAATATCGAGTAAACTATTTCAAAGAAATATTTTCTTTTTATTTGTAAAATTTCAATAAAGTTATTTTGTTTTATTTGAGAGGATTAAGGATACTCTAAGGTAATATTTCCTTAAATTTATTTACTTTAAACCCTGTTTTCCAATAGTTTGTCACTCCACTTAAAATCAAAAACGTGGCCTTACACTCCTGTGGGGTGCTTCTGCATTTAATGTTCATAATGGCCAACTTTATTGACAATAATTTACGCTTACGACTCTCGACCATTTGGTGAGCCGTAATTCAATTTATGGCCCGCCGGCAACCCCGTAACCCAGTTTAGAGCCGCACCGAGATACACTTGGACAGCAAATATAAATATAAATCAACATGCTGCGGCGATGGAGTGATGGGGATGCGCCAGGTGGGGGGCACCGAGTGACCGACCCGTCGGGCAATGGTCAGCGATAATATCTAGAAACTTTGCCCCCGACGCTGGGGCTAAAAAGGAAAAAGAGCCGGTGAATGTGGGCCAACTGCAGCCATAGAAGTGGCTCAATGAGACCCACTTGAACCAAAACCCCAACAAATGCGGCTGCGGGCCAAAGATATTTAGTTATTTAGAAAACCGCAGAGTGCAAAATGCCTGTCGAATGTGCCAATTTTCCACTCCCGCCACCGACACGCCGGGGGAGACAATTAAAAATTCGTGTCAAAATACGAGCGCAAAGAGGTGGCAAGAATTTTAAATGCTTTTCAAGGTTTAGCGGCGCAGCACACGCAATGTGGCACAGCGATTGCATGTGGCATGAACCGCCAATCCTCCAATTCATCGACGGGTGGGTCGCATTTAGCGCAAATTAATTTTAAATTACACATACGCCGTGGTCGCCTGCCTTTAATTAATTGCACTTTTCCCGCCCCGGAAATAAATCTACTTGGATTTTGGATTTATTTTTTTCTGTGCCGCCTCTAATTATAATTGGAGTTTAAATTTAAGCGCCACTTGGCACATAAATATAGCAGCCAGCTGACCCGAGGTCAAGTAACTACAGACAATAAACAAACTCCGAAACAACATTGTGTATACGCCATGTATTTTTAAACACGTGCAACCGGAGGGTTGGCGAGGTAAAAATAAGCAGCGCTGGAAAATGGGAAAACTCTGAAACAAATATAATAAAAGTTGAAATTACAATGATTAAAATTGCAAAAGGTAATTCATTAAAACTGTGTTTTGCAGTTAATTTGTAACATCATTTTAAAGGTTTTTAGGTAAAATTTGTATTTATTGGACAGCAACATATTTATTAATTTTGAAAACTTGATTTGACATTTATTGACTTGGATTTCATTTTTGTTTGTTCAACGAACCCCATACTTTTCTAGTGTCAATTGGTTGACATTCTTGAGTTGCTTCTTTGCAATTTTGCGGCACTCGACTTGCTCGGTTTATTGACACGCCTCGCACACGTCAATCACTGTTTGACAGACAGCCAAACACTTGACTTGGAGGGCGGATGGATTGACAGACGAGACGACGATTGAAGAGATGAGATTGAAGAGTTCCCTCGACGTTGTGTTGCATGCTTCAAGTTTTTAGCCAGACATGCAGCTCGAGTGGGGCCCAAGCCTCCGGAATTTCACCTGTATTTTGAATTCAATCCAAACATTTGTCAAGCCATTCAGCCAGACATGATGTGATGTTGTCGGCGCCTGCTAGTGATTTTCGATTTGCAAAATTGATTCGATTTCGGTTCGGGCGGGGCATACATATGATTTGTTGCCGCTCTTTGTGTCGGACATAATTCAATGCGAATGCATTGCAAATGAGCCATGAACAGCTCTGCATAATTCACAGACGCTGTATAATTAAAGTCATCAGTAATTTAAATGTCAGGCTGGGAAATAGAACATTTCATTTTGCCCATGCCAAGGTTAATGAAAAATCACTGTTCACAGTTGATAGTTTAATGTGTTTTAGTTGTTACAATTTTTTCACATGAAACGTAGAAACACACAAGTTAAATAATAGCTGTCAAAAATATCACTAAATAACAACATTTTAAAAAGGAAATTAACATAAATCATTCTGGCCTAATATGCTTTTATATTTTAAAATAAATTCTCTTTTTGCTCAACAAAAAAAAAACTATTCCATTTAAATGCCTCTTTAATTAGGAGTTAAATATACATGTTTTTGGAAATAAATAGCATTCTCGGCTAAATATATTAAGATGCCCGCGCTTTGTTGGCCATTTGTCAAATTAAGTATACGCCATGGTGCCGCATAAATTGCCACAGCCGCAGATAGAGTCGCCAAGTAAAACGGATACTTTGTCTTGCTCGCATTTTAATTGAGTACATTATATCGCCGCTGGCCTTGTTAAGAACCTTTTCTGAATATTAAACGCCATTAAGTGTCCCCCAATCGACCATTTGGCAAGGACTTTTTCCTCCGCTCCGCTGATGGATAGCCGGCCATTTTGTAATTAGTGACACATTTAACCATCCATTTGTCCTTGTTTGTGCCTGTGTGTGGCCCCGCACATGTTTGCACATACATATATTTGCCTTTGGTTGAAAACCCTGCAATCACAACAAATGTGAAGTGCAAACAAGGCAGCTTCGGGACCAACAAGCCTTCAATTAACAGCAAATTCGAAAATTCAAATATGCTAACTTTTAGCCCATTGCAATATGCGCAAATATTTGCTGGCTGTTTCATTAAGGTCCAATTAAAATGCATGTAATAAACCACAAGCAGGAGTAATCAACTTCCGGTCAAGGCTAACTATTGCTAGCCGTACTTATGGTTTCAAATATTTGAATTAATCTTGAATATGCAAGGAATTTTCACAGGCTTTCAACGATGAAATAATTAAGACGATGCATAGATTCAAGAGGAAAATTATATAAAATTGTAATTGCAATTCAAAATATGTTAAAAGTAGTTCATGAAATGGATTCGGCTTGAAGTTTTGATGGGATAAGAGAGACACTAAAGTGCATTGATTTTGTAATACCTAATATTCCTTAATGAAAAGTTAAATATTAAGTTATTAAATCGAGAAATAAATTTGTAAGCATTTCTACTAAAAATGTTTCAATTTCTTAGTTCACTTAATGTCACAATTCCTTTATCCAAATGGTAAACGCCATTAATCAAAGCCGAAATTTAATTATATTCCCCAAAGTGAATTTCTTGTGTAAACTTGCACAGTTTATGGATAAACTATATTCGAAAATATGCCATTA